TAAAAATGGCAAAAACGCTCAGAGGTTTCAGGTCAGAGCACTCCTGATTCAAACAGAGAACTCTCCTTTGCACGTGCATCTGTTGGAGGACCCTAAGCAATGCCAGGGACAGAGCTCACAGGAGAGATGTCTGCAGGATTTGCTGCAGGAGATGGAGATGGGGCTCATCCCCTCCCTCCTGCATCCATCACCCTTGTGTCCTCTTGGCCTCTCCTGTCTCCCCCAGAAGCCAAGCTTGAAGAATGTTTTCACCCAAAGCACAGGCTGATGAAATAACCAGCTTTCATGGGAGTTTAGAATCATAGAAATGTTTGGAATCACAGAATCATTTAGATTGAAAAAGATTTCTAACATCATTGAATCCCCCATTCCCCCAGCACTGCCCAATCTCACCATTAACCATGTCCCCAGGTGCAATATTTACATGGCTTTTAGATACCTCCTGGGATGGTGACTCCACCACTGCCCTGAGCAGCCTGTTCCAATGTTTGGTAACTCTCTGGACAAAGAACTTTTCTCTAATATCCAATCTAAACCTGCCTTGGCATAACTTGAGCCTTTCTCTTGTCCTGTTCTTTGTTACCTGGGAGAAGAGATCAACTTCCACCAGCTCCACCCTCCTGTCAGGGAGCTGTAGAGAGTGAGAAGGTCCCTCCTGAGCCTCCTTTTCTCCAGGCTGAGCCTCCCCAGCTCTCCCAGTTGCTCCTCATGAAATTTGACATTGAACATCAGACCTGACATTGGACTGCCTGTCCTGTGGCAGTCCCTGCACAAGGACTGCAGATTTCATCAGGCTGTGTGAAAATGAAGATAAAGCCATAAATAAAATTTCAGCCATAAATAAAAAAGTGCAGATTTACCCCAGAGCATCTGTCTGAGGTGTGACACAGGGGCAGTGGCAGTGGGGACAGGTCCCACAGCACAGGTGGGAGCAGAACTGGCAACATCCCTGCTTTGCTTACCCTTTCCCTCTTCCAGCAGGGATATCAAAGCCTGACAGGTCCATTGGGCCCACGGTCCCCTTTTTTGGGATTAAATAAATAGTCCAGAATTCCAGCAGAGTGGCTGCCCAGCAGGATGGGAGCTGGCTGTGTCTCCCCATCTGGCTGTGCCTGCCCTACTTGCTGAGCTGAGCTTTGCATGCAGTGCTGCACTGCTGCCCTGCCTGCATCAGGCATTGCCACAAGCCCTGGACTCATCTTCTCCCAGCTGGGGGAATGCCAGGGGTGACAGGCTGAGTGCAGGAGTGACACCTGCCACTGCTGTGGCCCCAGCCCTGGGCAGCAGGGCAAGCTGCCAGGCTGGAGCAGAGCACAGCCAGGGCTGGCTCAGCAGGTTTGGTGCCACCAACCCGGGGGGCCCCACGATGGGACAATTCCTCCAGGAGCGCCGTGCCCGGCAGCTTCCCTGGCACCAGCGGGTCTGGGCAGGTTTGGACCATCCAGAACACAAGGGTGTGCTGGCTCATGGCTGTGAGAGGAGGCAACAGCCTCCAGGATTTGGGGCACAGGAGCCTTTTTTCTGGTGAAAAGCCAGACAGCCAGGACATCAGTGGACATGGGCTCACACAGCACAGGTGTGCCAGTCCAGCACAGTGCCCATCCTGGCCCCCTTTCCCCTAGGATAACAAACATTGTATCTGCAATTTGTATTCTTAAACAATAGATGCTGCTAATCCAGCCATGTGGAAGGGTTTGAAGCCGAGGAAGCTTGAAAGTTACTAGGATATTTTTTCCCATCGAGTATCTTGGTTCTGTAAAAAGCTGTGTCTTGACCTTGCTCGCAGCCACCCTGCCCCCTGTGTCACACAATGGCGTGGCCCAGGAAACCTGCAATCTGCCACAAACTAGAATTTCAGGTCCTCATTGGTTTGTGGGGTTTGGCCAGCTTGTTCCCATCTATTTATGGACAAACCCCAAGCAGCCTTACACTGGGGACACGGGGATTTATGATGGGAAGAGAAATTGAAGCTATTCCTGTTTTCCTTGGGTCCTATCACCACCCAGCCCTGGGCTGCTTTCCCATGGCATCACCAGCCCACGACTGCCAGGGTTGGTGATGGAATCTGTGCTCCCTGCCAGCCCCAATCCAAAATGGGAAGACCATGGGTCAGAGCACAATGCAGATGCTCCCATTGGCACAGGCAGCGGGGTCTGGGGGTGTCTCTGAGTGCTGCAAACATCACTCAAGAGCATTGGAAAAATAAAGTAACACAGCCTTGATGGAAAGGTGTGTGGGAAAGGAAAAGCTGAGCAGGAATAAGCCAGCAGGGGTTTGGGCTACTGCCAAGGAAACATCACTAGATAGGCTAGCTAGAGGCACAGTGGCCAGCCCAGCCAGCACTTCTCTTGGAAAAAGGGACAGGATCCAATCCCATGATACAAATCTGGCTGCTGCCTCAATGCAGGATCCTGGAAAAGCCCCAGTGGGCTTTTGGAAAAATTCCCACCAAGGTGGGAACAGACATCAGCAACAACAAAACGAGCAGAACTGAACGGGTTCACCAACGGGGAGGCATTTCAGAACCCACATGTGGGTGGCAATGAGGACACTGCAATCCTGGAGGGTGGAAAAACCCAGCTACCTTAACCCAGCAGGGTGGAAAAACCCAAATCTCCTAAAACCCAGCACTCAGGGCAAGGGTGAAGAGGTTATCACCTGAGCCCAGAAATGCCTGCAAACACACCCAAAAAAGAACAACCCTCAGAGAGCCTCTTTTTCAACACCTGCCTCAATTCCTAATTATCCCATTTTTTTCCCCTAAAAAACAACTCAGGCTCTGCCGTGTACACTCACCAAAATTGTTTTGCTTTATTGCATATTGCCATCTTAGAAAATGTACAGTCTCATAACATTACACAGCATTTCCCACTAGCTAGAACTACTAACATCCTTGCACCTAACAGACTACCTTAGTCACTACGAAGCTAATAAGGTCCAAGACATAAACTTTTGTTTACAAATCATTATGGATTTTTTTTGTTGTTTTGTTTTTGGCATTATTAAAAAAAAAAAAATCATCTTTAAAATACACACCCAAGAGAAAAGAGTGGCTACTTACACCAGCACCAATCTAAAAGTAGTTTTCGACAATGGCACATGGAATTACCTGCACACAGCCTTTGTATTTATTTATAGAGATATAATATTTTTTTCTTTTTTCTTTTTTTTTTTGAAAGAAAACAAAGAAATGGCAAAGTCAGCCTGATAATCAGGCTGTTGTAAAACAATTTAAAAATAAAAACAACCCAAGAGGTTTGGAAGGGCAAGAGGAAATCTGTCAGGAAAGGTCCTGATGTGGCACTGGGGTTGCAGAGGCAGGAGCCGGGGTGGGTGCTGGCACCCAGGGACCCCGGGAGGAGATTGCCCTTTCTGACCCCACCACCTGCCCAATTAAACACGTGTGACCAACCATTCCTTAAACCATCAGAAGCCAAACTTTTTCTTTTTAACCTTTTTTTTTTTCCTTCTTATTTTATATATTTTCAATTCCCCCCATAGTCCATTCCCTCAATTGTATCAGCCCCATTTTTTTTCAGCCATAAATAAAAAATATAAATAGAGGCACTTTAGTTAAGGAATAGTATTATCATTACCTTTTGTCTTTATTTCCCCCTCCTTCTTAAAGCAAAGTGCTTAACTCCACCTTTGAACATAATCTGCAGGTTTTGCAGCTGCTTGGCTATGAGGTGCTGGACCTTATTTTTGCACTTACCTGCTTTATTTATTACTGTTTTAAATGCTACTCAGAAAGTTTTTTTTTTCTTTTTTCTCTTTTTTTTTCTTCTTTTTTTTTAAACCTACAGTGCGTTAAATGTTGCAATGAAGAAAAGAACAAAATGGTAAAACCACAGCTCTTGACAACTCTGCTTCGAGAGAGATTTCACAGCTTTCACTCAGCACACAGACCCCACGGCCTTCAGGTGCTTAGAACCATATTTTTTTTTATACAAATTAGTTTAAACAGCACTTTTGCTATACAGTACATATAGTTAACTGACATCCCATACCCACCAGTAATACCGATTATCTGACAAAAAAAAAAAAAAAAGAACAACCAACCTTGTTTCAAATAGTGTTAATATCTAGTGCAACAGGGACAAACTCATCTCTCCACAGGAAAAAGAACAAACAAACAAAAAAAAAAGATCACAAAAGTATTGGTGGTATAAAAAGGTTTTGTTTTGCTTTCTTAAAAAACATACCACAAATAAATAAAAGTAAAAAGTAACAGTCCTCTATATAATCAGCATAATTTAAGAATAGAAATGTTAATATGTTAATGGTGGTTATTTTTTATTCTCCAATTCTTAATTTTCTAAACCCTTAAATTATTACTCCCTGAGAGCTCTGAATTACTTTTATTATTGGTTTTTTTTGTCTTTTTCTTTTTTTTTTTTTGGACTGACATTTGACAGGTAGTTCTGCTTACAAATTTGCAATGACAATGAACAGCAAACCAGTCAAAAAAAGGACCTGGCTAAGAGACGAGTGTTTCTTGGCATCACTGCTTCTGTGTGTCCGAGAAAGAAAAAGGAAAAGAAGGCAGGTGAAAGCTGCTGGGTTTTACCCCAACCCCTTTGTATTTCAGAGACCTTTGGTCCTGACCCACCTTGACAGAGGATACAGTTTGTCCCATTGAACAGAAAGCAAGAACAAAAGTTACAACGCAAAAGTTTATGCTCTTCGTCTCCTCCGAGAACCGAACCTTTCCCACCGTCTTGGGCCAGAAAACGTTGCAAAAGTATAAATACATCAGTGTGGCGTTACAGCGAGAAGCACTTTGGGGTAAAGTTTGTCCTTTAGCAAGGTGGCAGCAGGAGGAAAAAGAGCATTTCCCAAGGATGACGGCAAGAGCATCGCTGGGAGCACCCGCGGCGCCGAGCTCGGGAACCGGCGCGAACGCACAGATTGCGAGTTTCTCAGAATAATCACAACAATGAGAGAAAACAAACAAACAAACAAACAATGGATTAAAGTTCAGTCAACTTTGCTTTTTTTTTTTTTGTCTTTTCTTCTTTAAACCGCTCGGCTTGTGTGCAAGGCGTCCCCTGCAAGTGGCCCTGGGGGGTTCTGAGCAGGAGAGCAGCAGGAGGCAGCTTCCCCGTCGGCTTTGGGACCATGGGGACAACCGGCGGCTTGGGGTTGGGTCCTCTCTTGCTCCACGGACGTGGCATTGTGCTTGTGCATGGGGAGAACTACTTTTTGGAGTGGGGAGGAGGTGGTGCTGGCACTGAGCTGCCCACACACCTCCCTCCACACCCCCCCGACCCGACTATTTACACAGTATCTACACACACGCACTGCCCGCGCGGGGGACAGAGAGCGTGCCACTGTTCCGCTTGGAATCGCAAGGCAGTGTCATGGAAACAACGAAAAACCAAAAAAAAACCCAAAAACCACAGCCACTTCAGAAAGACTGACCCACGTGTCTTTTGCTGGGTGTTGCTGTCAGTTTGTTTCTCAGAAGTTGAGCTTGGTGACGGGCCTCTCGCGGCCGCTCTCGGCCAGCTGGTTGGTGATGCGCTTGCGGTTGCGCTTCAGCTTGGTGAGGTCCTTGTCGAAGACTTCCCCCGAGCGCAGGGCAGACACCAGATCATCGAACTCGCCGCTCTCCTCCCCGCTCTCCTTGGCCTTCCTGGCCTTGCGCTCCCGCTCCCGCTGCTCCTTCAGCTGCAGGCCGTGGTGGAGGGGGGAAAGAAGGCAGCTCAGTCTCACAGAGGTGGTTGTGGGGGTGCCCAGCACATGCGTGCTGATCCCCAAACTCGTGGAACTCAAGGGCTGTTTCCCACCCCAGTGCTTAGCACATGAGAGCTGGTCACAGTTATTGATAGACTACATCCCTGGATGTGCTCCAAGGCCAGGCCGGACAGGGCTTGAAGCAACCTTGTCTAGTGGAAGGGGTCCAAGCTTGCAGTGAGGGGGTTGGAATTAGAACTAGATCACTTACAGTTGAAACCATTCTATGATTCTGAGATTCTGTGATAAAACCCATGGGCTGAGGGTCACAGCCCCATGGCTGCTGCTCATGGATCCCCAAACTCATGGAACTCAAGGGCTGTCTCCCACCCCAGTGATTAGCACATGAGAGCTGGTCAGGGTTATTGACAGACCATATCCCTGCTCCAAGGCCAGGTTGGACAGGGCTTGAAGCAACCTTGTCTAGTGGAAGGGGTCCAAGCTCACAGTGAGGGGGTTGGAACTAGGACTAGGTCACTTCCAGTCCAAAGCATTCTATGATTCTGAGATTCTGTGATAAAACCCATGGGCTGAGGGTCACAGCCCCATGGCTGCTGCTTGTGGGTCACAGCAGCTGACAGACAGCACCAGCTCTGCTGCACATTTCAGCTGCAAGAGCTCCCAAAACCAAGGTCATTAATCAAGTAGTGAAAAGCCACTGGGTCTGAGACCACAGAAGCTCCCTTCCCAGCCTTCAGTGCTGCCTGTGCCACCCTGACCACCGTGGGGACATCATGACACTGTTGCCACTCCCAGATGCCCTGGAGGTGCTGCTAGACTTGCTGGTGTGTGCTCACCTGTGCCTCCATGCGCGCCCGGCGCTCCTCCTCCTCCTTCCTCTTCCTCATGTTCTCGTTCTCCTGCTTGGCCTCTGTCACAGCTTGAAGGAACTGGTCAAAGATGCCAAAGAATTCGTCAGGCTGCATTTTGTCTGTGTCTTCTCCAAAGTGCTTCACAGCCTTGGAAAACTGGAAGAGAGAAGACAGGGGTGCATCAGTTTTCGATAAATCCACTGGACTGGTGAAACTTTCAACCTGATGGAGCAGAGTGAAACACTCCCAGCAGCCATGGCACACAGCAGGGCTTTGCCTCATCAAGCCTTGATTTAAAGCTGAAATAAATCACCTGATGTGTTACCTGTTGCCCTGCAAGACCTGGATCACTATCAAGCCCCCTCTCCCCATCTTGCCTCTGGCTCTGCTGAGCCTCCCCTGCCCCAGCTCCACTTTATTAACTAAGCAGCAGTAAAAACAAGGAAGCAAAATATTGTGGGACTGAAGACATAAAACTAATAGTAAACACGGCAGGGGAAGGGAAACTTGCACTTTTAAGTTTTTCTTTGAAGTATTTTTGGGGTATTATTTATCATTGCCACATGCTCTGCTATTGAAACCAAATGTGTTGGTGAAACTTCTAACAGAGATTTCTGCCCAGGCTCAGGCACAGCCCTGGGCAGGGAAATAAGGGAGTTTTCCTGCCTCTTGTGCTGTTTGCACACCATTAATGTGAGGGAGTCGAATGAGGCCGTAGCAGAGGTCAGGACAGGACATCCACAATCTGCCAACATGTCCCAGTCCCCAAGCAGCCCCCGAGTTGTCCTTGGGACTGACACTCTTTGTTCTCACTTCCAGTCTGAAGGAGACTCTTTGTGCAGAGCAAGTTTGTTAAAACTGCGAAGGCACATTCTGGAGATAAGCACGCTTAAAAGAAAAGAAAAACAAAATCAAAGCACCAACAGATTTATTAGTTGCTTTGATATTGCAGGGTAGACCAAGAGGAACAGTTTTAAAGCCTGCCTGTATGATTTAGTTTTATTTGCAGGGGTGCCTCTGGCTTTTCAAAAGACATTTAGTGCATTTTTATTTCTTTGTTTACTTAAGAGACTTAACACTTCAAGATGCAGGGAGGAATCTGAGAAGTGCCACTATATAAGTCAATATAATTGAGGTTAATCTTGCTGATTTTAATCAAGATATTACAATTCTCTGCCATGTTACTAAAGATTCTGGTGGGGGAGGGAAGGCTGAAAATGCTCTCCTGATGTGATATCAAGTTTATAAAACAGGGATGTTTCTGCTTTCCTAAGAGAAAACAGGAACATAATTTGAATCTGGACATGTGTTTAAAAAGCAAAGAGCTGGAGCACTCCACACAGCCCATCCCTTACAACAACCATGGAAAATTGCTTCAGAGTGGGCTTCCACAGATGCTGGGGACCATGACCAGACCTTCTCCTCCAGACCCAGCCAAGCCAGCAGAAGATGATACACTTTTCAGAGCATTTGCCACCACTCCTAACTCACTGCAGAGAATATCTGGGTACCACCAGCAGGCCAAAGGGGTGGCCTGGGTTAGCCATGGCCTCAGGGAAGTCCATGATAATGCCCCAGCACGGGTCAGGAGGACAATGCCAACTGGGTACAGCCAGGGAGAAGGAGGTGAGGCTGAAAAGCTGCTCCTATCTCAAGGACTTTGGCGGCCTTACCAGCTCTTTTGCTTCCATCAGGAGATCTTCGACATCCGAGAAGCTGAAGCTGGCCAGTGTGATGAACTGGCTGACCACAGACACAAACTTGTCCCCTGCCTGCTGAACCTGGGACTTCTGGAAGTCCAACTCCTTTGGGGGGAAAAAAAAAGGTAAATCTGGTCAGGCCCTGGCTGATGAGGGACACAAATACCACTGGCCTCTGGTAGTGGCACTGGGAGTGTGCCTGAATCAGTGCCAGGGGTTCTGCTGGCACCACCACTGCTGCTCCCCCTGCCATGCATGACACCCTGGATCACTCTGCCTCAAGTGAGCTTTTAAGGCAAATCCTGCAGGAAAGCTTATGGGAACAGGATAATTGAGCAAGACAGTGAGTCCTCTGGGATACCTCCACCATTTCATCAGCACTCCAGCTGTGCTGCAGAAGTGCTCCCCAACTCTCAGTGCTTTTACAGCCAAGGGGAGACTCCACTGCACATCACAGGAACTCCTTGGGCATCATCACTAGGCTTACTCAGCCTCCCTTGATGCATCAGACATAAACCATGAGTGTGCCTCATCACACATGGTAACTTCAGTGCCAGAGCAGCCCTGAGAGGACAGGCACACGTGCAGGGCAGGAAGGAAAGGCAAACACATCTCCAGGATGTGAGATAAAAGCAGCTTCACTGGGAGCTCCCTGGCCTGTCTCCCCAAGGAGGGATGCAGTGCTGCTCAGAGCCAGGCTGGACTATACTTGATTTAAATAATACTTACAGTCTCCACTGCTCTCAGGCCACTTCTCAGAGTGTTTATTTCTTTCTCCAGCTCAGTCATGCTGTTGGAAATAGCAGGACGTTAATTTTCAGCTTTTCCCAGCAAAATCTACAGCTCTCTGACCAACTTGACCATGGTTTTCCCCCTGAAAAGACCCCAACCCTGCCCACATTGCCTCCTTTTTGCAGATCAGCGTGTCTCAAGCAGCAAATCAGGCTGACAGCCTCTAAGCTAGGACTATCTCACAGTGGCTGCAGCTGCTTGCTTCAAAGCAAAGCACTTTTCTGTATTTTTAATCAAGGGGACTGCCCAGGTTTAGCAAGCTCAGCAGCCTCCAGCCCTCTCCAAGTGAAAGGATGGCTCAGGAAATCTGTGCTGGGCACAGATTTTTCTCCAGATCCAGCAGTAGATGATGTCATTATCCCAGTGCACAGAGGAGAGTTATTCAGGGTACCATGGCTGGGTGAACACCAGGCAAAGCATCCTTCCAAGGAGGAGCGAGCCTTTCACAAAGGGAGACAGCCCAAGTATAGAGAAATCAAAATAAATCACCATGTCTGGCACTGCCTTTGTTTACACAAGGCTCAAGCCCCTGATGAGCTTCAAATTCAAATGCTTATGGGTTTCTACCACTACTATGTTAAGGGAAGCTTTCTCACAAAGCCTCAGTGACCACAGGCTTGATGCCTTTCCAGGGGTGTCTGTGCGAGGGCTGGGGTCCCTGGAAATGCTGATGCTGGGTCATGGGGCAAGCATTCCTGGCAGGTTTAGTCTGGGAAAATGCAGTTTTGGGAGCTCTGTGCTCCAGCAGTTCATTACTACTGGTGGGATTGACAGAGGCAGCAATTTCTGCTTCACAGCTGCAGGACTGGGGGGAATTCAGGGTTTTCCAGAGCTTTAGAAACTTTTTGGTTTCGCTCTGGATTGGACCAAACCCAAATGTTACATATGGTGTCCAGTTTAGAGAGAAATGATAAAAGTTTAGGGGGGTGAAGAAACCCTCTGTGCAGGCGTTTTCTTTCCCACACGTGTGTCTGTGCAACAGCTGCAGGTCAGGAGCATGGGAAAGCCAGAGCCTGCACCAGCATGGAGCATGTCCTGCTCAGCCATGCCCTCAGCTGATGCCTACAGACTGAGCACCACACACCCACAGAACCATGGAATATCCTGAGCTGGAAGGGACTGACAAGGATCTCCAAGAATCCCACCCTGTGCCTGAGAGCATTGTCCAAATGCTTCTGGAGCTCTGTCAGGCTTGGGGCTGTGACCACTGCCCTGGGGGAGCCTGTTCCAGTGCCCAGCCACCCTCTGGCAGAAGAACACTCCGCCCTGCATGCCAAGATTTGTCCTGTCACTGTGCTCAACCCCTGGATGATGATTATTTTACATTTTATACATGAGGATCCTTGTTTGGTCCAGTACACATCTTCCCTGGGAACCCACCACTGCTACAAGAGAGCTTTGAAACTTGGGAGACCCTCAAGCCACTGTAAACTCCATGAATATATCATAGAATCATGGAATGGTTTGGGTTGGAAGGGATCTCAAAGCCCATCCAGTTCCAAACCTGCTGCCATGGGACACATTCCTCTATCCCAGGTTGCTCCAAGCCCCATCCAAGCAGGTCTGGAACACTGCCAGGGAGGGGGCATCCACAGCTTCTCTGGGTAACCTGTTCTAACAGCAGCTGCCTCTTCTTCCACTGGATCTTCAGAGGATGATTACACCCTTTTCTACAGGATCCCTGCTCCAGCAGAACCACCCCTGACACTGCAGGAGGGCTGCAGCCATAATTCCAATGGGGCTGCCACCAACACCCTGACCCACAGGGTGTCAGGTTGGGTTCTGACTCTGTCAGTGCTGTTCTAGTGTTCTGCATTATTTATTTTATCCTTTTATTTTTTTTTCTTCTCTATTAAAGAACTGTTATTCCCTCCTCCCATATTTTTGCCTAAGAGCTCCTTAATTTAAAACTTATAGCAATTTGGAGAGGTGGAGAAGGTTTATATTCTCCATTTCAAGAGAAGCTCCTGCTTTCCTTAGCAGATTCCTGTCTTTCCAAACCAAGACACATGGGATACCTTCCACTATCCCAGGTTGCTCCAAGCCCCATCCCAGCTGGTCTGGAACACTTCCAGGGAGGGGCCATCCACAACTTCTCTGGGTAACCTGTTCTAACTGCATCCTCTCTAAAGGGGTGCAGTTTCAGCCCCTCTTCATGTCCACAGCTAACACAACTGGCTGAAGAAATTTGTGATCTTTGCTGCTCGCATCCCTGAAGCATCAAAGCCCATAAGCTCCAGCTGGAGTTTAAAACCAAAACAGAGCCTCACTGATTTCAGAGATACTTCAGCACATACTTGAGGGCTTTGCAGGGCAACAGCAGATTCCTCCTGATCTTAAAGGCTCAGGCTGTGTTTGAGGGCTTTGCTGCACTGGGGCAGCCTGTTCCCAACAGCTCACTGGGCAGGGTTAAAAATCTGGTTGCAAACCCCAAAAACTCCATGTTGGCAGAACAAGAGGAAGGCAGGATCTGGATGCAGGTGAGTCCCTCCCACAGCTGCCTGGTCCTGCCTGTGCTGCAGGCAGAGCCTCCCTGGCACATGAGGATAAACAGCTGCCCTTTATCTGCAGCCACACCGCAACCGCTTCCTCCCCGATTACTTAATGCACCATTAGAAATTAATTAAATGCTTTTGTGGTGAGATAACAACAGGAAGCGGCTGCTCCAAGCAGCTCTCCTCCCCCAAGCTCAGAACTTTAGAGCCTTCACTGCAAGGGCTGGGATTTAAAGCTGCCAGGTGATGTTTGCTTCTGAGTCCTGGGCCAGCGTGGCCATGGCATGGGATACCCAGCCCAAGAGCCAGGGTCTGGCCAGGAGGGTGAGCTGGGGTGAGGTGACAGGGCAAAGCAGGCTGAAATGAGGGGAGAGGTGCTCCCAGGGCTGCCTAAGTGCCACCTCAAGCCCTGCTTACTTGACTTTGGCTGCCTGTGGGATGTCTCGCAGCTCCTCGTGCAGGCGCAGGACTTTGGGATATTTCTTTTCCACGACAGTGATGAGATAGTGCAGCAGGGTGATGTTCCTAGGAGAGAGGAGCAGAGAGGTCAGTCTGGCAGCATCTTGGGGGGTTCATTGTTCAGTGAAAACCCCTGGTTAAACCCCAACCCTAGTAATGTACTATTTGAGGATTTCTGCAAGGATGCTGCTTGATGCCTGTGTGGGGGACATGGGATGGGTCTGTCCCATGCACAGCTACAGGGCAGAGCCTGGGCCCTGCACGGAAGGGTTCTCCACAGGAGGAACCCAGGGGAGGTGACTTGAGCATCACTGCTCTTGTCCTCCAGTGTCCTTACTGATGGATGAGACCAGGCAGGTTTGAGACCTGACCCAGCTCCTCTTGCTCTGTGAACAGAGCTCTCAGCAGGGTAAAGCAAACCAGGCAATGGCTGCATCAGCATTAAGGAAAGGCAGAGGGAGTTCCTGTGGAGAAAAGCCCCTGGGAACTCTTTCTCTGGCTCTTGGCATCTTCAAAGGGGTTAAAAAGCATTTGGAAGATGATCATCCTAATCAGCCATAGCTGGAGTTTAGCCAGCCCAGGAAGGAAAGGCCCCATCAATCGCTGTGCTGATCTGCAGCTTGGCTTCCCTTGAAAGCTGTCCTGCTCAAAAAAATGCACACTCACATCACTGGGTGTGCCAAACTGGGCAGCAGGAGGAGGGGACTGCTCCCACCTACCCATGTCCCAGAGGTAATGCTAATGACCCTGCATCCCCCCAGCACCCCTGGGGCCAAGGGTGGTGCCAAGGATAAGGGCAGGGGCTGCTCACTTGTCAATGCTGGACTTGGTGTCTGCAATCTTGTTGAGGCTGGAGATCTTAAACCCGAAGGCGTTGCCCCTCTGGCCCTTGTTCATGTAGTTCCCAAACGCCAGCACCACCTCCAGGAGCTGCTGGAGGCTGCTGCTCTGCAGCACTGCCTTGGAGCCAGCACGGATGGCTGAAAGCAGAGAGGGGTGGGACATTACCCCCTGCCACCAGCAACCCCTTCAGCACCCCCAAAGAGTGACCACCAACCCCTTCCCTTCCCTTCCCTTCCCTTCCCTTCCCTTCCCTTCCCGCTCCATCCAGGCTCATCCTGGCACAGAGGATGCTCTTCCTGGGAGTGATCCCAAAGTCCCTTAGCAGATCTTTGTCACTTGCCTTCCACTTTGGGTTTGACTTCTGCAACTCTCTCTGCAAACTTCTTCTTGAAGTAGAGGGACTGCAGCCTTTGCTGATAATGGTTTATCCTGGAAAACAAAGGGGAGGAGCAGGCTGAGCTTTGCTTGCTCCAGGCAGAGCTCTGTTGCTCCACTGCTCACAGCTGTGCTCACAAAGCATGCTTGAGCCAGGGTGATTAAAAAATAATGACCCCTTTTCTCCCTGAAAGTGTGCTGAGATGGGAAAAAATGACAACTGAAGCTACAGCTGTCCTGGGGTGGATCCCTGTGGGTTCTTAAGCACATGCTCAAGCCTATCCCCTTAACTCAGCAGGTTCAACAAGTGGATCTTTACACCCCACTGGTATGAACAAACAGTTCTTTCACAACCACTCCTAAGCAAAGGTGCTGATGAGGTCTGGGCTCCCCATGGCTTTGTGATGAGCTGCAGCTGGAGAGAGGCTCACCTATGACCAGAACTAATGAAACTGGACCTTCTGATCATCAGACTGATGGACTGGGCTGGAAAGGCCCTTTCCTGGGCAAGTCAGTGATGGCTCTGCTTGTGTCAGTTGTGTTTATGCTAACCAAGATCTCACTTGTATGCACATGGCAGCCTGATTTGAGTCACCAGGACCAAGGACCCACGGGAGACACGCTCACACACAGAGCCATGAGCTGCACTGTTGTACTAATCAGAGCTGACAAAGACATCACACTCAGTTACAGACCACAAGGCAAAATTAAAAATCAAGGAAAACATTTGCATCAGCACATTGTGCTTTCCAAAGGATGAAGGCATGGGAGCAACACTTGGGTGAGAGCCTGTGAAGAAGAAAGGTGACCTGTGATAGAAAAGCTAATTCTGAGTGTCAGTGAGCCCTGAGGGCTCAGGTCTGAGCTGCACAGCTCCATCCTGCCTGTCTGTGACACTCAGCAAGCACACAGCCCATTGTTGGTGCACTGCTCAGGGAGGATGGGAGCATTTCTATTTTTGATCTCCCAGTGCAATCTCCAATTGTAAAACTCACTGACCTTGCCAACAAGTGACTGGCTTGAAGTTCAGCTAAGAAATTCAAAGAGCTCAGTGCAATTCAAATAAGAAGCTTCAAGATTTTAACCCGGCACCTCTAGAGGATGTGCATGCAATAGATAAGGTTATTCATCCCTGAAGACTCCTAAGTCTTAAATGATTGCTACCAGGAGCAGGAAGAAATGACATTTCCTGTCAGTCTCATATAGTCTCAGGAGCCCTGGAGATGAGTCAGTCCTGAGGTGACAAGTGGGACTCATCTACACAGCAGGACAAAATGTACATACATCAGGCTGGAATATTCATTAGGATGAAAGGGAAAAGAGCACTGTGTTATCATTCTAACTGCACTTCCCACCTGGGCCACAATGAATCATAGGATGGTTTGGGTTGGAAGGGACTGAAAGATCATTTAGTTGCCCTGTAGGGACACCTTCCATCTGACCAGGTTAGATAACAGAATCACAGAATCATCGATGTTGGAAGAGACCTTCAGGATTATCCAGTCCAACCATCAACCCAGAACCACCAAAAAAATCCATCTCCCCATCCCTCTCCCTGCTCTGTCCAGCTGCTGCTTGTATGGGAGCACAACCCTGATTTTAGCACCACAGCATCACAAATAATCCTTATAATTTGGAGCACCTTGCTTGCCCTCCTGTCTGCTTGGCCCACTCATTTCTTGATGTGAAAAACAGTAAGAAGGGCTTATTTCCCAAGCAGGCTCCATGGAACTGCCACCTCCTGACCAACCCATGCAGCCAGTGGCCAAATTGTATCCCCTGAAGTGGTGAGACCTGTGTTGAGGTGAATGGACCACAGGTTGAGGAAGAAAGCATGTGTGGACCAGAGGGGGGTCACACCCATCTCTCTGTCAGTGCCACCATACTGCAAATATAATGTCTAAAAAAAGTAGCCTGAAAAGAGTAAAGAAAGAAGACTGAAGGAAGAGTGTGAACATGGGGGCAGTTGCAATTCTTCATTTATCCTCTTCCCAAGAGCAAGACCAATGGCCACAGTTCTGCCAAGAACAGGAGACAGGCTTAGCTAGCAAGAGTCAGATAAAAATTAGCAGTGTTAACTGTTGGACTTGATGATCTTACAGGTCTTTTTCAAACTAAATGATTCTACAATTTATGAAAATGTGGCAGGTTGAAATGAGCAACCCGCTCATTTCCAATGGCCAAACTGTGTCCCCTGAGGCACCAACCTGCTCATTTCCAATGGCCAAAATGTGTCCCCTGAGGCACCAACCTGCTCATTTCCAATGGCCAAACTGTGTCCCCTGAGGCACCAACCTGCTCATTTCCAATGGCCAAACTGTGTCCCCTGAGGCACCAACCTGCTCATTTCGAAGAGGAACCGGTCAGCCTTGGCCATGCGGTCCAGCTCGTGCTTGTGCTCTTCCAGCAGGTCAATGTCTCCCTTTTCAGGAACAAACTTCAGGAGCTGAACAGGAAAAAGCACAGCAGTGGACATGAGATCCATGCACGCTTTTTCAGGAGCTAAAAAGTGATTTATTTCCTCGAGTCTAACAGCTTTTCAGCATGTACAGGCAGTGACCCCAAGGCACCTGTGAAATAAGTGTTATTGCTGTCCCTGTGACCTTCCTCACGTTACTCCATCACGTCAGTGTCTCCTGCCTCTGCCCTGCCATCACTCAGCTTTTACAACAAATGAATTAAGTCTGCTCCAAGGAGGTTTCAACATCAGCTCTGCCAGAGGAGATGTCAGTCAGGGACTCCCATTTGCTGCAACTCTACTTATTAGCAGATGGAAATTTTGTGAAATGAATCCTCCCACATCTCTGCTCAAAGTGCAATTACCAGCTCAGCTTTAAGGACAGGTGAATAATATGCCTCCAAAGGGATTCAGAGGGAGTGAAAATGGGATTCCCCTTTTGAGGACTGCAAAATCACTGTCAAACCTTTCAAAAATAAACCACTACTGAGCACAAACTTCGAGCTGCAGCCACAAAAAGGCAAAATAGCCGCACCTCAAGGTTCCAGGGCAGACCCAGGTACAGGAATGCCTCATGGTGGCCATGCTGCTCCCAGCACTGATACCACAACCAAGCTGCTTTCCTGCCCACCTGGGTGGTTTTTCAGCATGTGGCTGGTAAATAATTTGGGGCCCAGCACACTTAAAGCTGTACTTTTGATCCCAAGCACTTTGCACAGCGTTGTCCCAGCCTGAGGCAGGCACAGGGAAGCAGGAGACACGCTGCCCACCTGTTCCAGCATGTCTTTTGGGAGGTCCTCCTGCTCGTCCATCGTCAAAATCGCTCGTTTGATCTCGTCATTGGAGAGTTTCAGCCTGGGAGGAGGAGGGAAAGGAGAGTTACTCCCAGCCCAGCAGTCAGGGAAGGCTCAGGAGAGATTCCTTACACACCTGTGCAGCATGAAGAGCTGAACCCCCAGCCAGCAGCAGCATCACAAACAGCTCTATCCAGCATGTTGTGAAGGAGGATGTGTGGGAAATGTGGTGGGACCCTGCTCTGCCAAGGCTCTGCACAGCACAGAGCAGCCCTGGCCCTGCTGCAAACAGGGGGCAAAATCCCCCCAATCCAATTCCCTCTCCCCACACTGCAGCTGCCATTCCCTATTCCCCTGTTTAACAGAACTTTATGTAAGGATTGTAAGCAGTACATTGAATATCCAACTTTGAGGTGTAACTCCTGCCCATAGCAATGCTGCTCCTGCAGTTCCAGCACCCCCAAAGGCCACAGGGCCAGTGAGGTTTCATTCCCACAGGGAAGAGAGCCCAGCCCAGGCTCAGGAGTGCAGCTCAGCACTGCCCCTGAACCCACTGCCACAACCCTTAAGGAAAATCTGGGCAATTTCCACTGCTGTTCTTGGATTCAAGCATTGTCTCTCCCACTTTTCCTGACCGCCTTTGGCTGGAGTCTTCCTCTAGGAAAAAATTAGAAAGAAATCTAAAATTTGGACAAGTGGATGTTCAGCATCCCAGGAAACCCATCAGTTTGGTTTTCTTTGGAGGGGTGGGGATTCAATGCTCTTGGAAGTGTAAGATGCTGGAAACCAGCCTCTCCTCCACCTTTTTCCTCCTCTCTTCCACCTAACAGGAACCGAAGATGCAGCCTCAAATTGGAGATTTCCAAAACCACAGACCACTGTGTCACAGCAAGCACCACCAGGCTGGGCTTTCCTGGCAGGGATCTTTCTGCCAGCAGCCCACACTGAGCTGAGGCAACAGAGAGATGGAAAGACGCCCTCAGCTCCTCCTGGGCTGCAGCAGCCATTAATTACACTTTAATTTGACTGCAAGGAACCTCTCCCTGCAAGGACTTTGATTGCAAAACCACACGTATTTTTCTTATTCTTTGCATTGTGGTCTATAAAATAATCTAAATTAAATAAAGGGAAAGCCCAGAAACTCCTGCAACTCCATTTACATCCTCCCTCTCTCTCTCCTGGCGTGCAGTCATGGTTAAAGCCATTGCAACAGACCCAGCTTAAAAAATGTAATTCCCTGTACTTGCACGCAGGGAAAAACCACAGAGTTGAAAAGACCTGTTTGAGGAACCCCATGTATCAGTGCTCAGTGCTGCCAAGGGAGGCTGAAACACTGGATGTGGCTCAAAGGAATGAGCTGAAACCAGAAACACACCCTAGAGCAGGATGTGAGACCTTGGAAGTCAACCTGACCAGCAGATCAAACAGAAGATGGGGAGCTGACTTGATCACTCTGAGTAATTAAACAAGGAGGGTGTTTTTAACCCCCACATCTCTGCAGGGAGCAGACTGAGACTGTGGAGTTGGCTTTTGGAAGCTAAAGCTGACAGAGTTCTGGTCTCTAAGGCCAGGATAGCAAGGGCTTGGTTTAGCTTGGAATATTTTGCTCAAGACTGGAAGTGAAGGATTAGCTTTATTGAGACAGGTGCATCTTACAGACCTGGTAAGTAACTCTTCATTCCTTATGAGCCCATGTTTCTCATCCTGCCCTCAGTCCTCTCTGACCTCCTCCTCAAGGGAGCACCCTAGAGAGGGGTCTGGTAATTAGGGAGTGAATTAAAATCTACCTCAGCCAGGGGAGGAAGCTCAAAGATTGCACTGAGCAGAGGCCAAGACAATTGTTGGGGTCATCATACAAGGAACAAATCCAGAATCCTTGGAAAATATCCCCTCTGCTGCTAGCAGTGACCAGCAGCCACATCCTGGGGTCACCCTACCTGTCCCCCACAATGGCAGTGGCCAGGATGGGACATGATCCAAGGTGGGATATGAACCTGCAGGAGAACAACTTGTACACCCAAGCAGAAACAGGAGTGCTCAGAGCACCAACACCAGTCTCCACCCTGATGAAAAGCAGACATTGGCTAGATCTGGGTATTTGGGGGGGCAAAAATGCTCCTGGGAGAAGGGGGTGCTTAGGCACCTACTCCTCATCCACAGGAAACACCTAAAAAGCACAGAAAAGTACCATCATCATCCCCAGGAGGGTGGGGGAAGACAAGGGTGACTTTTTTAAGCCCTTACTCATTGAAAGCACCGTCAACAATAAAAATGCATTTAAAAAGAAAGAGGTTGGACAAAAAAAAAAAAAAACAACCAACCGACTTTTCTCAGGAATCATCACAATCCAGTGCCAAGAACAAGAGCCTGCTCTCTGCATCAGCAGAGAGCAAGAAGAAAACAGCTTCTCAGACAATTTGATGGGAAAGGGGCCAGTGAAAGCTAGAAGCTTATCTATAACCACAATAATTATCATTGTTGGCAGCAGCTGTCGAAGGCGAGCCGTCTGAGAGGAACGGGGTCACAGGACTTGCTGTCACAGGGATTTAGAGGCAGCAGCCTGGCAATGAGAGGTGACAGCTCACCAGCCCAGCCTGCTTTTGTCAGACCCCGTGCAGGATGTAATAAGTGTGAAGGGGAAAAACAAATTCTGCCAGGAAAGGGACGCGCCCTCCCTGAAAAGCCACATTGATTTGAGGGGGGAAAAAAATGCCTCACGTCGCCTTGCTGGGAGAGGGGAATCAAATGAGCCATTCACAGCAGGAAAACGATGGAGAGAGGGGTGGGTTTGCATCTGGCAGAAAGCAGGACTAAAAATACACACCCATGCACAGGGAGCAAAAGCAAGGACGTGGTGGGTTCACAGAGGGAGACGCGGTGAGGCACTGACATCAGCAAAGCCTTCTCCAAAGAACAGAAGGAAAAAGCAAGTGTTAAAAATGTTCTTGTGCTGCATTACAAGCTGGAGGAAAATCCAGTGATCTCACTGCGCAGAAATTTCTCCCAAAGCAAGGGAAACAGGCAAAAAAATAAATCTACAGAGAGAGATAAAGTATCTCAGTGGCTGTAATCTTTCCACGCTGCGAGCCAGACAATGCCTGGTGAGCTCACAAATGTCTGGGCTAAAGCAGGGGCCAAGCCTGCAGGTCCTTTCACATGTGAAAGTCTGGTCAGCCCCGTGGTGGCCATGCAAGCCAGGTGGGACAGGAGCAGCCCAGCTGCCAGACCAGTCCCTTTGGAACATTTGGGACCAGGAACACACTGCTCTGGCCAGCTTTGGGATGGGCAGCTGCAGAAGGGTTTGCCCAGTGATGCACAGAGTCTGCTGCTGGAGATGCAGGAGCTGGATATGAGAATACTAAAAGGATGCTTGGCCTTTATCCCTACACCACCTCTGAGACACTTGGCATCAAATCACCTAAAGGGATTCTGGGGAGAGAAGCTCACTTGTGGTCCTGGGAGTACCATGGGATGAACTCCAAAGCACTTCCAAGGCAGCATCTGGGGCAAGTCACTGCACCTTCAAAGCCACACATCCCTGCATGAGGATGGGCCTGGGGAAAGCCACATAGAGGCCTGAGGACCACCTTGCAGGGCAAGTCTGGTCCTGCTTCTCCCCTAGGAACTGGCCCACAGGGAAAGGCAGGCAGGCAGCAGCCTCCATCCTGCCCTTTCTGTGGGATTAGTTACTGGCAATTCATTTCCAGCCACTGCTTTCTTGGAAGAGAAAGGTTTGCTGGCGAGATGAAATTGAGACCTTCACTCAGTAGGATGTGCAAGATGGCTTTGAAGTTGAGTGCTTGGGTCTCTCCCCTTCCCACTGAAGGACCTATTTGTGTGCTTAACTTCCAAATATACACTTAAACCTCTGGCTGAATCACACCTAAACCCACTCCACGCTCAGCCTACGTATGCCAGGAGCAGCTCAGCCCCAAATCCCATCGTTTTACTTGCTAATAGCTGCCTGCCACAGACACACTCATTTGCCTGCTTTAAACTCTGCTTTCATCATCATCCTTTTTTTTATTTGGACTGCTAGGAAGCACAAAAATCCCCAGAAGCAGCCCAGAGCAGAGCCAGCCAAAACCAGGGCAGCTCTACCCCCAAATGCTGTGGCACTCGCTGCCCACAGGCTGCCAGCCACCTCTGGGAAAAGCACCAGGGGCTGAGTTACCCACCCAGATGGTTTTTGTTTTGCAGACATCAGCCTCTCCAAGCTTTCTAGGGAAGAAAATCAGCTGGGCTGCCCAGACAAGGCACCATCTCCACTAGGAAGAACCAGACAGAACCCACAGGCTGGGAAAATACTGAATTCAGCTGCAAAGCCAACCTGCCAGCCATGCTGCTGCATCCTGGCCAGTCCTGGGTGGCACAGAAGCTTCTGTGCCTCCAGACAGCAGAGTGAGTATTTTTAAACTTTACTGATGGTGGATTTATTTTTTGCTGGGTGAGTCAGAAACAAGTGGCATTTTCTGCTGTTCTTTGGGTGTTTTTTCACAAGTAGCTACACTGACAGCTCATCCTTTCAGACCACCACAACCTGGTTTCCCTTTTCTCAGGAAATTCAGTCTTATTGGTGCAGTTTATCTTGCCAAAGTAATTTTTATAATTTTGGCAGCCATTTGGAGATCAGATTAAATTGCTGGTAGCAGTGCTGAGCCTGCCTGGTGAGGAGTGTGAGGGAGACTGTCAGACCACCAGGGCAGCTCTAAGAGGGGAACATCCCCTTCCCAAAATTCAGATGTGGGCAGCAAGGTCCTGGCTGAATTACTGCTGCTCCCTGCTGACACCCAGCACTTCCCCAGCCCAGACAGGCCCTCTTCAACCACCAGCAAAGAGCAAACAAAACCCAGGCTGAGAAAGATAAGAGGTGAAATCAACCCCCTTTTGACCTCCTGTGGAAGCTCACTGGGTATCCCAACCCCATGAGGGCTTTCCAGGGACACCAAATTGCCACTGTACACCCTTAATGGCACTGTCCCCCCTCCAGTAAGGCTATAGCTGGGTTCAGGTGTCACTGGGCTGCACTGGCTCCTGTCATCAACCCCCTGCTCCAGGGATGAGGAGCACACTCAGGGCAGCCCAGGGCAGGGTATTAAGCATCCCCCCCACTGTCACAGGCATCTTTTATGGAAAATCCTTTCCTTAGGATTTTTTCTCCTGAGAAGCTGAGAGGCCTCAGGAACAAAATGTAACCAATGGTTATCTGCTGCTGTGGAATGCAACAGGTGGATCTGGGATTGGTCTCATGTGGTTGTTTCTAATTAATGGCCAATCACAGCCCAGCTGGCTTGGACTTTCTGTCTGAGACAGAAACTTTTGTTATAATTCCTTCTTCTTCTATTCTTAGCTAGCCTTCTAATGAAATCCTTTCTTCTATTCTTTTAGCATAGTTTTACTATAAAATATATCATAAAATAATAAATCAAGCCTTCTGAAACATGGAGTCAGATCCTCATCTCTTCCCTCATCCTCAGACCCCTGTGAGCACTGTCACACCCCACTCCCCACAGCAAGGCTTTAACCATACCTGGAGAGGAGGATGTTGCAGTTCTGAGCTCTCCTGCCATCTATGACTGAAAGCTCCTTGACTTTGTGCCGGGAACTCAACGTGTCATCGATGGCATCTTCCTTCTACGAGAAAATGAGCAGAAGAAAAGCCTGGAGAAGAGCCTTGGAGCAGCAAGGACATTTAGTACTCTCAGTGTGATACACAGTGGGCCCCATAATTCAGGAGTGGCACCACAGGTTATGGGTAAAGCCTGTGACTGAAACACAGTAAGGCATTTCATAAACCAGAGCTGGCTTTGAAGCCACTGGTTAGAAATGTAAATATTTTCTCAGACAGGGAAGATTTAAAAATCTGCAAACACAGGGGCGCTGCTGAATAAATAAAGGCTGGCTTTCTCAGCATACATACTTGTGATACTTCATTAAACCCTGGCATGGAGGATTTCATTATGGGCTGCTGCACACGCTCAGCATCGCTCTTGTTCCTCACCCCTGCTCCAAACATCTGTGATCACCCTTCATGCATCAGTCCTCCTGAGCCAGCTAACCAGCACATGCTGTCAGACTTGCAAAAGCAACCAGCAGCTTTTTCAGTGAAATCCTCCCAAAAGAAGGGATTTGAAAGCAGGAATTGGTGTGGAATAAGCACCTGTATCTCCTAAGTGGCTTAAACACCTTACCTTCAGATGAGTAACAATACTGTGTGTGCTTGTGGGTAAATGGGCAGATCTACATAACAGCAGCTTTGTAGGGCTGCCCGAGGAGTTCATGTTGCCCCAGGTTTAAATTACCATATTGCATATTTTAGTGAGGGTAATCAATTAGAAGCTGGCTATTCAATCCTTCTGGAAGGAACACAATCTGGAGCTGCAAGGTCCTGAACATTACAGATCCACACTAAACATCCATGAGGCAGGAGACCTGGCACATGGCCACTCCAAGGGCCGAGAGTGAGCACTGAAATTACCATTTTTTACTCATTTTCTTGTTTCAACGAAGAAAACATGCAGATATGAGAAGTGGGAAGAGGCAGGTGATGGAAAACGATCCCCAAGTCACCCAGCACCAGCTGCCCCTCTCATGTGCCTTGCCAGCTCTGACCAAGCAGAGAGCTTCAAGCCATGGGTTTATTTCCATCTTTTGAAAACAAAAACTGCTCAGGGGTAGGAGCTTCTCTGTGGAGTTGAAAACCCAACTCCTGGACTCAGACATTGCCTTTCACCTCAGGCCAGACAGCAGAGAGGGTGGGTTCTGCCTTACCAGCCTCCCCAGCACCAACTTTCAAGCTGCTCCTTCTGCTGATCTTTGTACCTCTCTGATTCAACCCCATTTGTCACACATGAACCCCCCCTCAGAAGCAGCCCCCATGTCCCTGTCCCCAGCCCCACATCACACTCCTGCAGGTGCTCACTTACCTGTCTGGAGCTACCATTCACAAAGAAGTCCTAGAGCCATAGCAGAAGCATGGAAAAAGGCAGTAAAAACACATGCAGTTCAGTGATCTCAGCAAAACCAGAGGGAACTGAAGCAGAGAAGGGAAATGTGCAGTATGGGGGGGTTTGGCAGCATGGGGGTGCCAGTGCTAAAAAAGGGGTGATGCAGGTGAAAATGTGGGTTATGGGATGTGCAGAAGGGCAGAGCTGATGAAGAGGAGGCACTTGGGGGTGCCAGTGCTAAAACAGGGGAGATGCAGGTGAAAATGTGGGTTATGGGATGCGCAGAAGGGCAGAGCTGATGAAGAGGAGGCTCCTGAAGGGATCAGGCTGAGGCACATTGTGCACAGGGGTGAGGAGGGGACACGGGATGAGGTGGGAGGATGCTGGCCAAGCCCTGCTACTGGCCCAAAGGCACAGCACTGCTCAGCCTGCTGTGCCTGGAGGAAAATTGCTGGTTCCTGCACATCTGAGGGACTGAAATGCCAATGTGACTGCCAGGAAAAACAGGGCTTGGAAGTGGAAATAAGGAGAGGCGCATCCCGCAGCAAATCTGGCCGCAGCAAAACTTCACCATCGGCCACAGCAACATGCTTCCCCTCGAGTTCTCATCCTCCTCCTCCTCCTCCTCCTCCCTGCTTCTCCAGGGCTCAGCAGCCTGGCCCCAATGCCCACCAGCAGCATGTCCTTCCCCAGACCTGGCTGTGCTCTCCCCAGCAGGCTGGAAGCAGGTGCAGTGAAGCTGGCACCACACACACACACATGGGAGTTTTCCTTCCTCATCCTCTTGGCTGAGCTGTGCTGTTCGAGAATCTTGTGGCTAAAAGTCTCCAGATCAGTTAAGGCTAAGGATCAGTGTTTGACTAATCAATCTCTACCCAGCAGTCTCCTTTGTGGGACAGGCACAAAGCACACCCACAAGCTGCAAGGGCTATCTTTATCTTCATTTAACTGGTCCCTAATTAGGAGCTCTTCCTTCCATTTCAACCCTCAGACCTGCCCCACGATGCTCAGACTTGCTCCAGGATGCTGGACAGGGAGGACATGGTGGCTTTCTCTGCTCCAGGAGAGGGAGAGCTCCTCATGCATTAAGGTAGAGAAAAGATTCACTACAAAAAGGCCTCAAACCAGCCTCATTCCTGCCCCTCTCCCTCACAGGAACTGTGATCCAGCTTCTGCTGCAGGATGGTGTAAGGAGGAGCAGCTTTAAATGTGCTGCCACCATCCCCACAAACAATTCCCAGCCCTGCTGTCCCTGGCCCCTGTGCAGGTCACTCTCCCTTGCATGGAGGAGCTGGAGCCTTTCCTTCCTTCATCCTTTTTTGGGAGATGAATTCTTTCCCAGCTCACTGCTAAGCCCCTGCTTCAACAACACATATTTTTCCACTTGGCCCTGACTCTTTTACATCACTCACTGCTGCAGGACCTGCCAGAACTGCCCTGGCTGTGTCACTGCTGCTTATCAACATCACTCCCAGCCTCTACCCCCAGGAAGACTCTCAGGACATCCCTGAGAGAGGCACAAACCCCTGTGTAGTTTAAGCCCTGATGGTCCTGGACTTGCCTTTTTGCATCACTACATGCACACCCTTACACAGCTGCTGCCAGTTCTCATGCCACAGCCAAAAACTCCCGTTGGATTGTCTGTAAATGCTGATATTCTGTACAGCTGCAGGGCTCAGACCTTCTCTGGGGACAGGGACATCTGCAGAGCCTTGGCTGGGAGGCCACAGGCTCTGCTCACAGCTTCATGCCTTGTGAGGCACTGATGAGCCCCAGGAAGCCCAGAGGGCTCCTGTCCTCCCCACATGGAAAGGGCCCTTCCCCAAAGCTGCAGAGCTCAGCTAATAGCCTGCATTTACATCCCAGCCTGTGATGTGGGAAAAAACATTTAAAGACATGCTTAAAATTAAGTACATGGTTAAAGCCTCGGGTCTGTGCAGCACTTTGGGATTCCCAGGCGCTCTGGCAGCAAAACCAGACAAATCCCAGCAAAGGCAGCCCCACAGCAGCCACCCTGGGGGGCTCAGAGAGCTCTGTGCACTGCACACACCCCTGCTGCTGTCCTGCTGGGGCAGGGCCACAGCGATGCACCCCTGACCAGGCATTTCCAGAGCCCTGCTTTGTCTGGGGGCATGGCAGACAGGCAGCCCCTGATGCTCCTGTGGGTGTTGTGGCCCAGGACAAGTGAGAGGCATGATCACTGAGCAAGTGGCTCCAGACAGGGAACAGGCAGGGAGAACCCTGCTCCTCCCTTGCCTCTTCGTGACAGAAACCAAGTTTTGCTAGAGCTTGAAGATGCTGTGAGTTGTGAAACCATCATGATGAGTTCATTGTGCCTCAGGGACAGGCTGTTCACTGCCCCAGCTCCCCTACATGTACACAGAGCCCCGTGGTTTGCATGTGTGACATAACCACAGAATGGCTGGGGCTGAAGGGACTTGAAAGATCCTCTAGTGCAACCCTCCTGGGAACATTCCTACTCAACCAGCCTGGAACACTTCCACTTCTCCTGATCTCATGGAGCCCATCTAACCCCACACACTGCTGTGGCTGCAGAGCCATGAGCCCCTCTCCATCCTGGGACTAACACTGGGAGCACCCTGGGGACTCCCAGCTGGACAAACACATCCCTCAAGGCCCAGGGAGATGTGTCCCATGGCTCCACTCACACAGAATGAACCACAAGGAACTTGTGCATCACGTCCCCAAGGGCAGCTCCAGCCCCAGCAGCATCTCACAGGTGGGATTTTGCCTTGTCTTTCCCATCTGCCTTTCAGATGCTCTCACAGCATCTTCTGCCAGTGCCAGGCCAGCCCCTGGCTCCTCCATTCAGCCCCCTTCTGGTCCTCATCCCATGTCACAGCTCTCCTTACACCATCTCCCTGTTCCTCCTGGCCCCAAACCTAACCAGCCACTTCACCCAGCAGGACCTCAGCCAAGCCAAATTATTTTTAAATTCCTGCCTGGCAATAATCCTCATCACACCAGGTGACTCATGGGCTGGGGCCCGAGGGCAAACCATCCTGCTGACACTCAGGTTTCTATTCTTGCTCCTCTTCCATTTCCATTCCTTGTCCTCAGACATGCCCTCCCCTAGGCATGAGTCAAGCTCAAAAAATGCCAGGAGAAAGAGACATTGCTGTGGTCACCTCTTCCCAAAACACTGGGGCAGGCAGCACGTACTGCTGGTGGGTCACTCTTGATGTTTTCCCTGCTCTAATCCACCCTGATCTTTCCCTCAATTAGCCTCTGGAACAGATTAAACTCTCACACTGCCTAATGAGCTTAATGGGTCTGGTCCACTCCTTCCTGGCACTATCCCTCTGGCTGAGCCTGGCACAAAGGAGAGAAGCTGCTCTCTCCTCCCAGGAACACAGCCAGGTGTTCAGCAGGTGAACATCCTTTTTCAGCCTCTCTTCTTGCTTTTTCTCCTGCCTTCTTGAAACACTCATTGCTTTTGCCCATTTTCACCCTGCCTGGGGTAAAATAAGTGTCTAATTTTCTTCATGTGCTTTGATGCCTTCCAAACTGGACCTACAGTGCTTGAGCAGGAGATTAAAAAGCAGAGACTTTTGCCTGCAATGACATTATTTTGGTTTGGGGATATTTGTTCAAAGCTCACATTTTGCTCTTGGCTCACTACAAAAATAAAAGAAGAGACCCACCCATGGTAGATGTGGGCAAAACTTAGTCCCTCTTGGCCAGAGAGGGATAGAAATTTTCCACCCAATACAGACACATGGAGAAGTTGCTGTTAAGAGCAATCCAAAAATATTACCCAACTGTGGCTACATCTGGGGGTTTTTTTCATAACATTCCCTGTCTCTTTTTTTTTTTTTTTGGGTGTGTGTTTTTTGGTGATCCATCTTCAGGGCACACATGGTCAGGTGTGTGGAATCAGGCACAGTGAGCCATGAACAGCTGCCTCGACACCAAGGCTCTGGCACGTGGATGAGAGGACAAAGCAGATGGAGCTGATCTGGCAAACATGGCTTTGGTATGAAATAATGATGGGAGATGTGTTTTGGTACCACCAGTGAAACCACATGATCCCATAATGGTGGCACCCCACCCAGGTGTGCCCACCCTGGGCCAGCTGTTACCTGCTGTCTTTGGTAGGCTGAGAATGTCCTCTCCAGGTCCTCGAGGTCCAGGATTTTGAACACTCTTGTGTCATCTATGTTGGTCCACACGGTGCCTGCCAGCTTGTTCTGCAAGACAGTGGGAGCATTGCAGGTGGGGGTCCTCACCCACTGCCCTCACATCACTGCCCAAATTTTTGCCCAGCTTACCTCTGGAAGCTTGGACCAGTTGAAGGACTTGAGGGCGTTGGTTGGCTGAGGGATGCTCTTCTTCTTGAAGGCCATGCCCGGGGGTGCTCCAAGGGGAGGCATCAGCCCCCCCAGGGGTGGGGGGCCAGGGGGAGGTGGGGGACCCCCTGGAGGAGGTGGTGGGGGAGGAGGTGGGGGACACCCCCCTGGGAGTGGGGGGGGTGGTGGAGGGGGGAGAAGGGAGCCGGGAGTTGGAGAAGGTGAAGGGCCCCCGGGTGCTCCTGGTGGCATGGGAGGTCCTCCAGGACTGGCAGCACAGATTGCCCTCTGGGAGAGAAAGAGGAATGGGGACTGGTCATATGGAGGTGGGGACACCAGCTAAGAAATACCCCCATGCTGATTTTTAATTGATTTGGTTAAATTTTAGGGAAAAATGAAGCATTCAAAGACTTCAACACTCCTGACTGAGGCTCAGTGCAGCTGAGAGGCAAAAATCAGCCCATCACAAGGGACAGACACCTTGGTGGCTCTTCCAACAAGCCTCTTTCTCAGTCCCCCCATGCAGCTGAGTCTCCTGGAATCACCCCACAGCACATGCAGGCTGTTAGGGACTGGGCCCACAAGAGGAGCAGGTTTGAGGTCTCACCCTGCTCATTTCATGGAGCTGTGCTGTCAGATCTGCCACCTGCTGCTTGACCTGCTTGTGCTCGCTGGACTCCTTCTCCAGCTTCTCCTTCATCTTGTTCAGCGTCTGCATCATCTCCTCCTTCTCCTGGGCCTTGGCATCACACTCCCTCTCCTTCTTCTCCAGCTTCTGCTGCAGCTCTGTGTGCTCTGAAACAGCCCCAGGAGACCACTTTGGGTGACAAACACTCCTTTTTGCCAACAGCAGCCCATGGAGGGGCTAAACCCCACTCTGTCCTGCAGAGAAGCTGCAGCTGACAAAAGGGAGCCTGTGCTGTGCCTCAATACCCCCTTTGGAGCCTCTTCATGAAAAAATATTATTTTCTTTGCCCATTTTCCATGCCAGCCCCATGGCATGACACTATCTCAGCCCTTCAATAAAGCCTGCAGATACATGTATAAATACACATATAAATACATGTGTATGGTAACTGTTTAGCCAAGGTTAGAGCTCACACTGTGTATTCCTCCACCACTCACCTTTTCTCATTTTCTCTGCTTGCTCTTTCCACTGTTTCACTTCATTTTCATTGACTAACCTAAAAGGAGAAGAGATGTAGCACATGAGACAATCCTACTAGAGGAAACAGGAGACCATCACCAGCAAGGAGCACAACTGAGAAAGTGGAATTAAAGGCTCCCAAACTGGCACACCTAGTAACTCTGCTGTGTCCCCTCAGCAAGGTTATGTAAAATTTATCAGGGAACACACAAAAACTCCTAAATCTCAAATATTACTGGCAAATTCTGTCTAACCAAAGGGATGAGCTTCATGGCTAAGGTGGGGTGAAGCCAACAGCTCCAGGGATGCTGGCTGGTGTCCAACCAAGGAGCAGGAACATCACTGTGTGACAGTGACCAGCAAGGAACAGTGACCCTTGAGCACTTACATTCGTACAACATTTTTAATGTTGAAGTTTTCCAGGGGAGTGGCATCAGGGTCCTGCCCTTTGTCACTCTGGATGACAATCTGCTGCACGATCCTGTCCAGCAGCAGCCAGTACTGGACGGTGTTGCCGCTTCTTTTATCTGCAGGGGAGGAAGGGGACAGACTGACATGAGCACAGGGCAGGTTGTGATGACACTGCTGGGCAGGAGGGCTGGGCTGCCAAGCCTCCAGCAGGCCCTGGCTTTCCTGGCCTCTCCTGGGACTCACAAGGCATCTGGAGACAGTGGTGCAGGATGGACATAAAGTGCGGGTACGCCTCGCTGTGCGTCAGCCTCTTCCTCGTCAGCTCGAACATCTGAGTTGCACTTTTGGTGTCAATGTGGACCTGTGGGCAGGAGACAGGCAAGGTCAGGCCACTGCAGCCACAACAGCACCTCCTGTTCCCTGAGTCTCAGCTCCACACCCCATGAGCCACCCTCACCCCAAAACTGACAGACAAACTGGCCTCACTGCCCTGCGAGGGGCAAACAGAGCTGCTGGGCAGGCAAAGGACAAAAGGGCTAAAGCAGGCTCTAGGACAGATGTTGCAAAAGAGCAGAGCAACAGGAAAGATTTCCAAGCTCCACATTTTATCCAGAAGACCACTCTTTGTCCCTTTGACTACTCTTTTAAAACTAACTGTGACACTGAGTGCCAGTGTCTGCATCAGCAGCATTCGTACTCACCAGCTCAAATCTTTTGGCAAACTCCAGTTCATCTTCATTTCTAAGCATTTCAAAGAAATCTAAGTGCCTGAGGAAAGAAAGAGAAAAAAAAACCCAAACCAGAACAACCTGTTAAAAGCAGATATAAATGTTACAATTAATAAAATACAGGCAGCTGGTTTGTCAGCAGACCAGACACTGGGAGAGCTTGAAACACCAAGTGGACCTTCAGCCCTGACTTCCTAATCACTAGAGGATGTGCAAGGAGCCTTTTGGGATGAGAAGAGGTGGATGAGGGCTGACAGCATCCCCTGATGGCACATCCTCCCCAGCTCAACCCTACATCAGAATGCAGCAAAACCATGTTGGAATTTTTTTCTCCCTCTCTGGAGACAGCAAGGAATTTCTAGAAGAGGTGTGACTCTAGGCCAACACCTGAGGGCAGGAGACAAAAATCACAAATGTGCTGGGGGTCCCTACTCACCGGTCTAGGGTTGAATTTTCATGTTGCCTTAGTTTGTCAATGACTGGCTGGATGCCCAGCATGAGGAATTCATATCTCAGATGGAGTCTGAAATCCAGGCTTTCCTGCAAGGCACAGGCATGGGCTCAGCACAGCAAGGTGCACACCCTCAGAAAGTTCACTGAAATAAAATAAGCACCCCAAGCACACCCCAAGGCCCCCCTGTGCCAGTCCCTGGTGCTCACCACGCCTGCCCCCTGGCTCAGGACAGCGTTGATGAAGGACATGATGGCTGTCTTGAGGCTCACTTCATCTCGGTACCGGCCCGTGCTCTTGTCCAGGTCGTTGATCAGCGTCTGCCAAACACAAGGGGTCAGTTCAGTGCCCTGTGACAGCCCCAGTGCTGCCCAAACAGCCAGGGAACATGGGCAGGAGCAGCTCCTGGGGATGCTCCATCAGCTGCTGGCCACCCCAGCACCCATCTGCAGCATCCCCAGCCCATCCAGCAATGCTGCAGCCTTGCAGAGCTCTGATCCCAGGGACCCTGCACAAACAAGCCTTTTTTTTTGGTGGGTTTCACCTTTCTTCCCTCCTGCAGATCCCATCAGACATGGCTCTGGGGTAATTCTAGATTTTTCATAATTCTGGATTTCTCAACTTGCAAACAGCCATAACAAAACATCTGCAAGCTGCCACTTAGATATTCAGGAGGAGAAAGGGTCAGGAATGCTGAATTTCAGGGGCTGAGTGGAGACCCTGTGGTGGTTTGGAATGGAGGAAATCTAGGTAAGTGATGTAAAACTTTTCATTCCCAAGGAACAAAATTTAGAAATAAAGGAACTTATTTAGAAATAAACAATGAAAATTTTTACCTTTAAACAACTCATCTTTAAAAATACCCCATAAATCAACATAACCGATTAACAAACTGTAAGAAAGCTTGTAGAAGACAGGAAGGACTTCACGATAACAGGGTTCCCCAAAGAGCTGTTATCAGTGAAGAAATTAGAAACCACAAAAGAACTGGGTTTCTCCCTCTTATTAAAAAAATCTTCATAACATTAACAAAAAAAAAAAAAAAAAAAACCAAACAAAAAAAAAAAAAAACCCCAAAAAAACCCTGCAAATTTCTCTCCCTAAGTAAACTGAGAAAAACCCCCTATTTTAGAAATAATAAATGGACTAGAAATTGTAGGTTTTGTTTCTTTACATTATCAATAAGAAAAAAAGGCTGTGAAGTGCTCTGAAGAGTTTAATTTAATTCCTACTACCTTTTTTCCTTTTAATTACTTTCCTTATTTCCTTTTAATTTATTAATAAAATTTTCTTTATACCCTTTTAAAGTTTTAAACCTGCTTTACCTTTCTCCTAATCCTACCTCACAACAAGAAGTAAACACACCAATAATTAACCGACAACCAAACCTGCCATCCTCTTTAATCCATTAACCAAAAAAAAAAAAAAAAAAAAATCTCAAAATTAGTAAAAAATCTCAGATTACCAAGCCAAAACCAGCACCCTCACCTACCTGAAAACGAGTCCTTTCACTGGCATATTTCTGGTAGTGCAGCATGGCCTCCAGTACCTTCTTGTGGCCCCCGGGAACCAGGCACACGGCGCCCATGATTTCCAGCACTGCCACTTTTGTCTTAATATTCTCTGTGCTCAGACTCTGAGCAATGACATTGATGCTCTCCAGGTGGGCCAGGACGTGGGCCCTGCCCAGGGAGTTGTTCATTAGTGCTTTTATACATCCAATGAGCGAGGTATGTATTCGAGACTCTGCTGTCTCATAGTCCATGCTTTTGAGAAAGTTGAGGATACATGATAAGCCATCCAGGTCGATGAAGCGGGTCACAAACCTGCCAGAAAAGGGGGGTTTTCACTTTAAAATTATTAATTAATTAGTTATTAATTAATTTATTTATATATTAATTATTTATTAATTTATAATTGGCCTTTTACCCCCACACAGTCTGTCGATGTACACCTAGAACCTCCCTGTACACTTGTTCATGGAATATACTTTCATCAGAAAGCCTGAAGGTCTCCTGTGGCCCAGACACAGGGATGGGGGTGTTAAAATCAATTTAATTGGTGCCTGGTTGCCTCTGCTACATGCACAAGGTTCCTCAGAGTGAGGATATTTCAAAGAGAACCAGCTAACCCAGTCACCAACACAAGTCTCAGGATGGAGGTTGGAAGTTTGCAGTCACACTGCAAAAACACCAACCTGAGTTTTGAGACAATTTTTGAACTGGAAGAAGATCCCAAGCCCTGAAGTCACCACCTCATCAGCTGCAGACACCTCAGTGTCAGCCTTTCTCCTTCTGCCACCTCTCCTGCCTCACCATCCACACCCCTCTCCTCCCTCAGGCACAGCTCCCCAGTTTTAAGGGATTTCTGATTTTTACGACGATTTACAACACCACTGAACAGAGAGCAGACAGCAAACACAGGGCAGTGCCCAGGCAGGTTCACCAGAGCAGGGAGACCCAGCACTGCACCCTGCTGAGGCATTTTAGGGCCCCCATGGCCAGAGCCACCCAGGCTGGGTGTCCTCTGCTTTGGCAAAAGGCTGGAAGGGCAAAGGAGCCAAGAACATCCCAGCACTGGGATGATTTTAATTCAAAACAAGCCATGCTGATGGGCAGCAACAAAAGGAGTAATTGCAGGCTTGGGGAAAACTGCTTTCTCTGCTTCAAAGCTTGCTCTTCTTCCAGCCAAAGTCAATAGAAAAGTTGGTGTTCACTTCCCTGGGTGCAGAAGTAGGTCCAACAGGTAAAATTTTCTACAGAGCCTGCTGCATCCCTCAAAAAACACTCAAATCCCACTTTTAAGGGTTTTATAAAGTTTCCTGGCTGGCCAGCAGCCCTGCTCACTGCAGGGGCCAGCACCCACAAGGTCCAGGTGTCACAGAAATCAGGTGCTCACCCTAGACCTTGGGAATTTCTTACCATTAACCACAGGTGGGAGAGAGAAAGGTATTTGCAAGCAATAGTAAATTTGTTTCTTCCATAACCAAAACAGGTCAGACACTTCCCAATGGAACATATTCCCATCAGAAGATGTCAACCTGAGGCACCTTAGGTGTTGCACAAGTGTGCATGCAGACTCCAGAGAAAATGAAATTAGGAAAAGCTGCAGACATTCAGAAAGCATCCCAGCCTTCATTTATCCTCCCATCAAAAATTCTTTTCCATTTCATAAAAGCCTGAAGATTCATGTGACTTTATTCCCTTATAAAGTGCAAGAGGAGTTGAAGCTGAAACAAAGGTCCTAGCTGACCAATAAAAATTCTTGTTTTCTTGGGGAAAAAAAAAATCAATCTTCAAGGAATTTTTACATTCTGTTCAGTACAAAGGAAAATTTGGAAAAATCAAAAAGTTGTCTGATTTGCCTGAATAAACAGGGAGGTCTTGGTGGCTCTTGGTCACTAAAGGACCAAGAAAAAGGAACAAAATGACAAAATATGACACCAAAAAAAAGCAGTTGGTGAAACCAAAAAAAGGCAGTTAGTGCCTCAGAGTCCTCACCTCCCTCACCCTGTACAGCTCCCATTTATATTCCTATTTAACCCCCTGCTCTGGCAGAGAACTCAAATCCAAAGCCACAAACAGGGAAGGGAAGGGAAGGGAAGGGAAGGGAAGGGAAGGGAAGGGAAGGGAAGGGAAGGGAAGGGAAGGGAAGGGAAGGGAAGGGAAGGGAAGGGAAGGGAAGGGAAGGGAAGGGAAGGGAAGGGAAGGGAAGGGAAAAGGGAAGGAAAGGGGAAGGGAAGGAAAAGGGAAGGAAAGGGGAAGGAGAAGGGAAAGGGAAGGAAAAGGGAAGGAAAAGGGAAGGGGAATTGCCTCATTGGTTTTGTCCGCAGTGCAGTCTTCAAACTTTCAATTGTTTTATTTCTCTCCTCCTCATCTTCTTTTTCCAAGGCGATCAGGGATTTTCTCTGTGCAAGGAGGAAGGCAGAGATCAGAAGGGGAATGTCCCTGTGTGCCCAAGGAGTGGCAGTGCCAGTGCCCACCACCCACTGTGCTGAGCCATGGGGATCCTAAACCCACCCTGGAAGTCTGGAATCCTTATGGCAATTCCAGAACTTGGGAAAAAGAGCAGTGAGGAAAACCACTCCATGCTCTGCAAGGAGACAGCCTGGATGGGGACAGAGGGGTGAAGGCACTGCCTCCAAGCCCCCACACAATTCCTGCTCTGCTCTGCACTGGTGTGAGCTCAGCTGGAGTCCTGGGGGCAGTTTTGGGCACCACAATGTAAAAAAAGACATCCAAAAAAAGCATTAGGCTATTGGAGATCATGCAGAGTAGGCCATGGGGATGGTGAACAGCCAGCCTTGACACTCCCAGTCTCCCAGTGCAACCCAGCAGTGTCCATCTCAGCTGGGGACAGAGGCTGTGTGCACAGGATGCATCTCCCACACTGGGTTTTGCTCTCCAGCTGGGGCTGGGGCTGGGATTTGACTCCTGCACCAGGGCTGCCTGCTCCCTGGGCATGCATGAGGCACAGCTACAGCTAAAGCAGCTCCCTGAGTGGCTCCTGCAGCATCCAGCAGTGCTGGGCCCCAGAGGTGTCAGGGTGAGCCCTGCCAGCCCTGGCTGAGGCTGATCCAAGGCAGAAAGGGTCCCAGCAGATACGAGGAGCTGTGCTGACCCCTCCATTTAACCCAGCTCCTCTTCAGCAGCACGTCAGGGAGATCAAAGCCACCCTGCAGGCATCTGGCAGGCTTTGATCACAAGCTCTGCTCAGGCTCAGGGCCCTGCCTGGCTGGCAGCCCATGGCCAGCACTGGGTGTTCCTGCCTTCCCAGAGGGAAGCAGCACACTCCCTGCTGGCTCACAGCCCCTGCTCATCCCTCTGGCACTGCTCAAGGCCAGGCTGCATGGGGCTTGGAGCTACCTGGCCTCTTCCTGGTGGAAGGGGGTTGGAGCTGGATGTCCTTTAAGGTCCCTTCCCACCCAAAGCCCACCCATGGTTCAGTGGCTGCACAGAACACCCCAGGTGCTGCAGGAGCATCTCCATTGTGCAGCTGTACCTGTTACAGGTGACAGTGCCACCCAAAGCCCACCCATGGTTCAGTGGCTGCACAGAACACCCCAGGTGCTGCAGGAGCATCTCCATTGTGCAGCTGTTGGTCTAAGAGGTGACACTGCCACCCTCTCAGGCACAATGCTGGCACTGTCCCCACCCTGCTGCTGCCCCACAGGGGGTTCAGAGTCACCAGGGGATACTCACAGCAGCCATGGAATTCAGCTGATCAATGTAGAACTCTGGCCAGCTGGTGGCTCCTTTATTTTCTTCCTGGTCCTGGGTAGGGGATAAAAAAAGTGAGACAAAGCCAGATTAGTAAAAAAATTAGTATTAACATTCCCTGCCCTTCATGACCAACCATTTCTAAAGCACCCCTGAGCTCTTGCATTGCTTTATATGAACATAAAAGTGTGACTTTCTATATTCTGAGCTTCCCCCTGACTCCATCTATGCAAACATTACCTGATTTATTGAACTGCCATAAATACAATTACACCACCTGCCTGTGACCAAACACTGCCCCACTGATACTGCATCAGTCTTGTGATTATCAGCTTCAGGGAAACCAGACTGAAATTTTACATCCAAATCTCTCATTTCAACTCCACAGTGCCCTTGAAGCTTTGGCTGCACAGCCTTGAATATGCTCAGGGGGAAAATGTTTACAAGCAATGAAGAATGTTTAAATGTGACATGATCTAGGCTGCACTCCTGGAGCAGAACCATGACTTATCAACATATCAACAGCCTAAGAGAGACTCCAGGCACAACAGCTCCTCTGGGGGCTCCATAAGGCACTGGGAGGGAACATGCATCTGGCAATGTCACCTCTTAAAGGATGCCAGCCCTGGGCCCATGGTCTGTGACACTGAGTGATGCAGAGCCTCATCTGCCATCCTGGTCCACGATGCCCTGCATCTGTCAGGGCTCAAGAGGGGTTTTCAGGTGCTACCTTGTTCTTGTAGGACAGGATTGAAGGATTAAAATCCCTCAGTTACCTCTGAGCCCAGCTCAGGTAATGCTGCACATTCCCAGGGGCTGCATGGAGCAAGCAGGCAGAATTTGAGGGAATACTTCATAATTAACCTTTTCCCTCACTTTATTTTTTTAAAGACATATATATTAAAAGAAGAAGATGATTTCAAGCAGGCAGAATTTGAGGAAATACTTCATAATTAACCTTTTCCCTCACTTTATTTTTTTAAAGACATATATATTAAAAGAAGAAGATGATTTCACAGCAGAAATGCCGCACAGCTCTAGGCTGGAGTCAACAAATTCTACACAGATCCCAAACATCTTCCATCAGTAACCATCTTCTGATCACAGCCTGACTGGCTGCATGGCTTTGCCCCTTCCCTAACTTTCAGAGCTGTTTGTAAACCTCATCCCACACCACAAACACCTGTGATGGGGGGAAGCTGGACGAGCCCCAAATATTCACTGTGCCTCAAGAGGCTGATGTGGAAAACTTCTGTGCACCCAAAGTTCCCCAGCTGCAGCCAAGATGAGGACAAGCAGAGTGAAGGACAGGTGATTTGGATGAGACTCACTTTGCCCCTGGGCAGAACAGCCTGTGCCTCCAGCCCTGACCCTTCCTTTGGCTGTGCCCGGCTCCAAGGCAGGGACAACACAAGTGTGAGAGCAGCAAGAGGCCTGGGAACCTCTGCCCTTTGCTTTAACACTTTTTCCTGACCCCACAGTCCCTCAGAGGTGCCAAGCAGCTGGGCTGAGGCTCAGGCCATCTGTCTGCTGGGTGTCAATTCTGTCTGACATGGCCATGGGGACTTCCAGCTCCTCACTGAGCCCTGGGCACTCGTGCCAACCCTCTCAGTGCCCTGCCAGGGCTCTGCACAAAGCTTGTGGGAATTCTGATTTTCCCAGCTCTCCTGCCCCACTTCAGAGTCCAGCATGCAAATGGACTCCAGGGGACAGCAGAGCTGGGACACTCACAGGTGCCTTGAGCATGGTCCTGTCACCTCCTGGAGGTGTCAGAAAAGCTCCTTCCCATTGTCCCTCTTCTAAGGAGCATCTCTGTCCCACCAGAAACACCAACCAGGAAAGGTGGCAAGGTCCAGAGGCTTGCTTTATCAGAGGCACCAACCAGGAAAGGTGGCAAGGCCCCCAGCATGGCACAGCAGCCAGAGGTGTCCAGATGTGCCCAGCACATCTGGGCAGGGAGTGAGATCCCTGCTGAGGAATGGGGAAGGAAAGCAGCAGGGCTGGCTCACCCCACAGCCCAGGACCTGCCCTGTGCTGTGAACACCTGTGAGGCAGCCAGGGATGAGGACCTGCTGCTCATTTAGGGTTGAAAAGAAGCACTGAAGCAAATAAAGGTCTCCAGGGGGGTGGAGGGGAGGCTGAACAACAAAATTGGCTAAACTGCTCATTTATAATTAACGTGCAGCATTATAAATATTTCCCTTTGCTGGGCTCCCCCGGGCTCTTGCATTTCCTCCCTGAAACCCCCAATTTAGAGAGTGCTCTCAATTAAGTGCAGCAGAACCTCATTAATTCCGACGAGCAGCTGGGCAGGCTCCTCAGAAAGCAGCTTCCCAGGCAAAGGGGGACTGCACAATAAAGCAGGCAAAGATCAGGGCAGGGGCTTCCCTCCCCTCAGCTCCCTGCAGGACGTTGCTCAGTGGTAATTACTGGGGCTAATGGTCTACAGCACACTGGGAAGTGTCCTTTGGTGTGCTCCTGGTGGTAAAGAAATCTCCTGACAAAGGCACAGCCCGGAGGGAAGTGAGTCACAAGGCTCTGCTCAGCGCCAGGGGGAGGGAGGAACCTCTCCAGCATCAGGGTTTGAAAGGGTGAGTGTGAAAAATGTTATCCCAGCACGCAGGGTGGGTTTTGGGGATGTGGGTTTTGCAGCCTGCCTGCAGGGAGGGATGCCCAGACACAGAGCTGAGCACCTCCATCAAATGTGAGTGTCTCCAGGATGTTCCACTGCAGCACTGAACATCTCCCAGAGCCTTCTTCCCTGGGCTGGGGCTGCTGTGTGTGCTCTCAAGCAGCAAAGGAGTGAGGGCTGCTCTGAACCCTGCTGCAACCCAGACTGAGCTGCTCTCTCAGAGACACTGATGGCTTTAATTGCACATCAACATCCCTCACTGTCCTTCAGGCCCACACGTGCTCAGCTGCAAAAACTGAGACATGCCAAAGCTGCACAGACAAGGGCAGCCCTTGCTGCATCCCCTGCTTTGTTCCACCTGAGCCCCTCACCTGTTTCTTCTTTCCAGGGACCTGGCAAAACCACAAATCCCATCAGCTGCAGCCCTGGTGTCACCAGGTCACCCTCTCATGTCACAGCCTCTGCTGTCCTGAGCCCTGTGCAAGGGGCTGATGGAGGCTGCTCTGTTCCAGGGTGACAGGGGCTGCTGTGATGTGAACCCCACAAATGAGCTCCATCCCCTCCTCAGCACTGCAGGGAAAGCAGTGCCCAGTCATTAGCAGGAGCTTTCCCAAGTGAGGGTCACCAATCTGGCAGCTCCAGCCATCCCTTTGCTCTTCCCAGGGGGATTTCACACTCCCCAGCCCTGTCATGTCTTGGTTTTGAGCCTGACACTTCCACAGCCCTTGTGCCTCCCCCTTGGAGTGTCAGCAGCTCCCACTGCCAGAATTCCTTCTCTTCCCAATGGCCACTGGGCACAGGAGGTGGGGGCTCAGCCAGTGGTGGCTCAAAGCAATTTCAAGGCTGCTCTCAACCTGTCTGCACCTGGAAGGAGCCTCCCCAGAAGCTCCTGCTGCTCTGAGCTGCAGGAATGCAGCTGCTGGGAGCAGTGCAGCCCCCCAGCGTGTCCCCATGGTGGTGGGCAGAAACACACCTGTGATGCTCCTCAGAGCTTTGTCACACCTGCTTTGCTTCCTCAGGAAGCTTCTGGCAGCATCTCACAGCTCCTCAGCCTGCAGGTGATGTCACACCTGAGCCAGCAGCCTGCTTCCCCACCATGGTGGTGCTCTGGGATAACTGGAGCTGCTTTGGGATAACTGCTGGTGGTTGGCTGAGCTCCCCACCCAGCTGATGTCCAACACACCAAGCTACACCCTGCAGGGCTGGAGGGAAAGGGCTGGCTCACAGCAGCCAGCTCCATGCAAGCCCCTCAGTCACAACACCAGTGGCTTTTCTCCAAGGTAGAAAGTGACAGGACAAAAGGAGATGGCCTCAGGTTGTGCCAGGGGAGGCTTGGATTGGATGTCTGCAATAATTTCTTCATTAAAAATGTGGTCAGGCACTGGAACAGGCTGCCCAGGGAGTGGTGGAATCACCATCCCTGAAGTGTTCAGAAAAGTAGGGATGTGGCACTTGGGGCTGTGGTTTAAGGGTGAACACAGCAGCACTGGGTTAAGGGCTGGATTCAGTGACCTCAGAGGTCTTTCCAACCTTAACAATTCTATTATTTTGGTGGTTCACCTCCCTCCTGGCACCACCTGCAAGGCTGGTCTGCCCTAGGAGAGCTCCTCAGGAAAGGATTAAAAAAAAAAAACCCTCTTCAATTGGCACCAGCTGCAAAAACAGAAACACCCCCTTCATTTTTACACATTGTCCTGACATAACTTTTATTTTGCACAGTGCTCCCCACCCCTCCTTGCTGCTCCACAACAGCAGGGCAAGGGAAAGCTGGCAGCAGTGGCAGCTCACTGACTGCTCTGGATGATCCACCTGGATGCTGTTTCCAAGGTCAGAGAGGAACCAGGCTGTGGCATGGATGGGTTTTAAAGCCAAGCAGCCTCTATGAGATGTTTAAATCCAGCCCAGCTCCACCAACATGGCCCAGCCTTTGCCAGGAGTGTGCTGGTGGAGATGTGGACCCACCACAGCCCCCCAAGGCTCCCCCATCCCTCCAGGTATCCCTGGAACAGCACCAAAGCTGCTTCCCCATGGAGCTGTGCTGCAAAGGGCTGGAATTTCATCAGACTCTCCCCAAGCTGGGATCTCAGGGTCTGAACCAGCCCAGCCCAGCCTGCTCTGGTTTTTCCATATGCTAACACTTGCTATGCCCTCTCCTCCACAAACACACACACGTGCCCCTGTACACTTTTCCCAGGGTTTAAAAATTATGCTCCCCATAAGCAAATATAGCATGACCAGATGCCTTTGGTAGTCAGCTGGTTCATTGTTTGAAAAGCTCTGCTTCAAAATCCAAAAAAGATTGCTAACAGATGCATTTTTTGGCTGGTGAGGGAGAAAAACCTTGCTTAAACAAAAGTGTGTTATGATTGGAACTAAAAGGGGAATTACCTTGAAAGATAAAAACTATAAACATTTCCCAGTGAAAAACATCCCCAGCCATGCAAACAGGCAGTTTCTCTCTGTCAGCCTGAGCAAATGACACCTGAGATGGTATTTCAACCTGCTGCTGCAATAACAGCAGGTCTATCTGCATGTTCAGAGGTCATGAAATCCTTCTCATCCATCCCAGGTGACCCTGGAGCATGGCAAAATGCCCAGCTGTTTTATCCTCCCCTCCCCTGCATGCCATCTTTGTCAGCTTTTGCTCTTAGTTCTGGCTACTGCAGCAAAAAAATATGGGGGGGGTTGATGTTTTTTTAAATGAAGGAAATGGGAGGCAAGCCCCAAAAAAGAGCTGCAGGGCTGAGCAGGACAAGTGGAAGAAGGAGCTGGGAAGCAAAGCTCTCTGGAGGGAGTGGGTGGAAGGAGCAGTTGGAGGGGAAAGAGGCTGTCTGCCTGGGAAATAGAGGATAACTGGAGAGACATCACTCATTTATTACAGATTTCCCCTGAAAAATCACCACTGCTGCCTCTTAGTGCAAAAGGTTTTTATCTGACCTCTGAGGAAATTTTAGATACAAGCTTTGCTTCACACTGCTCAGAGCAATGCACCCAGGGCTGGTGATGCCACTGGGTTCTCAACACAAGCTTACAGAGCTCAGCATCCCTTGGCATCCCTGCAGGTCATTTTTCCTCTACTCCAGCTTTGGAAATGCTCAGCTGGACCCAGAGGGAGAGGGGCAGAGCCAGACCCAGCATTGACATCAGCTGTTTTTCACTACCCATCCCTCTCACCTGGTTATTTATTCTGAGCTTTCAACACCCTGTACCCACCTATATTTTGAGGCTCATAAAAGCCACCCTTTGAGCTGCTTTAACAGCTTGGCATGACCTGCATGAGCTGTCAGGAGCCAAATCTCCTGTGATTAAACAGGTCCTGCAGACTAAGCACCAAGGGTTAATCATTAACTCCCTCTGGAAAAAGGCCATCCTGAGTCCCACCCTTGCACTGAGGCAAACCCACAGCCAAAGAAACAGCAAATCTGGAAACCCTCCTGCTTCCTCCCTGCACTTCCTAGCAATATCCTCTCCTGGAGAGCGGGGCCAGCAGGGAGTGAAATATTTTGGGATGAGCCATGAAACGAGTCATGGTCCAGAAATACCACTTCTAAAAGCAGATTTCATCCCACTGGCAATGCATCTCTGCCTTTGCATTTCCCTGCTTTATCCCAGCCATAGAGGGGCTGACAACTTCAGAGAATAATCTATAAATCTCTCTCCCGACCCCAGCACTGCAGGGCTGCTGGGTTCAGAGCAGAGTTCAGCTCCTCCTCAGGCTGCTGCTGGCAGAAGTGGGCAGCCCCACCCCGAGATGCTTTTTGTCCCTCTGCCTGTCCCCTGAGTGACACAGGGTGATGCAGGAGGGCTGGGACCACGAGGAGTTCACGCAGTGCAACCCCCAAGGATGGGATCAAACCCACTCCCTCCACGGATGGAGAATCAGGGAGGACAAAGCCTCCACCCTGCCAAGCCAGTCCTGTGGGCTGGGATAAAACCAGCTGCTAGCAGGGCAGAGAAACCAGGATGAAACCAGGGCTGCAGGCCAGGGGGAAATATTCCAGGGAAAGAAATGTGCCTGGGGGACAGCTGGATTTCCCCTATTTCCTCTCAACAGGTGCTGCCAAGGCTGTCAGGTCTCTTTCCAGGACAACCCAGCAAAAAAATGTCTCACTTTTGGTTCCCTTTTATGAAATCTTGCCTGTCATAGGAATACATAAAACAGCAACATCAGGGATGTGCTCTGCAGAGCTGAGTGTGGTGGATGACACCAACAGCACAGCAGAAGCTCCAGCCAAAATTGGCAGCAGAGTAAAGAGCAGAAACTGCTCAGAGGAGAATTCTGGGTTGTTGGTAATCAGGCAGCTGCCTGACACTGATGTCCACCTTTTCCAGCCCCTGGGACCCACCAGGTAAAACTGGGTGTTGCAAGCATCTCAAGCAAGATCTTGTTGTCAAACACAGGCTTTGTGCACACCCTGCACTTCCCAAACCACTGCCACTCCAGGGAGGCAGGACCACTGTCCCCTGCCCAGCCCTGCTGCCCTGCCCAAAAAGCAGACACTGCTGGAGGAGTGCAGCCCCTCTCCTCCATGCCAGGCTGCCATGTAGGTGATCTGGCCTCATAAATGCACAGGAGCACAAGTGAGACTCACCATGAGCTGCCAGGATATCCACCAGTGTTTCTGCTGCTCACCACCAGCCATCACCACACAGGGCAGGACAGCCTAGAGCCTGCTGTGCTCTCCAGCCCATGTCAGTCCTGATTTCCTCCATGGCTGGAGCCTTCATTGATACGGTCTCACTCATTTTTAATTAACAATATTTGTCTCCATCAGAGCAAGCAGTGGCACATGTGCTCTGCAGCTCACTTTAAAATTTAATTTTAAATTTTAAAATTGAAATTTAATTTCAAATTTCCAGGGATGAGGCATCCACAACTTCTCTCTCTCTGGATTTACTTATACATACAGGTGTGCACATACATTTACATTTATAGTTATAAATATATTTATATTTAGATGTATATGTATAAATATATGTATATGTATAAATATATTTATATGTGTATTTATGCATCACAAGCAGGGAAGGAATGGCTGGAACAGCCAGAGGAATGAGGACCAGAGGAGAGCAGCAGCCAGGATCCAGGCTCAGATGGATCCTCAGAGGATGATGCCCCAGACACTTCTGTGGCTCCTTCCCCCATGAGCGAGGAGTTTCATAGCTCAGCCTTTAAAAACCCATGAGAGCAAGGAGGGTCTGGAAAGGGAAAGAGCCACCATCAGCTCCATCTAAACCCTTCCTCAGGAGATTAGATAGCATGTAATCTGCACTCACAATAATAATTACATGGCTTTGCTTGATTTAACTCTCCCATTATCCAGACACACCATGGCCAGGCTCTGCTTATCCACCAGGGAGTGAGGAGCAGCATCCCCTGCCCATTCTCCTGTTGATCCAGAGCAGTGCCTGTAATTTGTTCACATCCCTTCTCCCCTCCCATTTAAATCTGGGGCATGGCAGGCCTCTGTCTAACAATAATACAGGGATTTCAGGGGTATTTATGAGAGGCTTAAAACTTAATCCTACATGAGCAAGGTAAGCCTGCTCTTGGCCTAAAATGTGGATGGAAAATCTGGTGCCATTGCTACAGCAGGAGAAAAGAGAATTTACAGCAGTGAGCACCCTGTGAGCAGGCAGTGACTGCCCAGCCACCCCCTGCAGCCAGGTGAGGGGCACTGTGGCAAATTTGGCAATGGAATCACAGAACCCCAGAATGGTTTGTGTTGGCAGGAAGCTTAAAGATCAGCTGGTTCCAATGCAGGGACACCTGCTACCAGACCATGTGGCTCCAAACCCCACCCAACCTGGCCTGAAACACTCCCAGGGATGGGGCATCCACAGCTTCTCTGGGCAACCTGTGCCAGTGTTTCAACACCCTCACTGTAAAAACCTTCTTCCTTTAATCAAACCTAAATAAACCTCCAGTTTAAAACCATTACCCCTTGTCCTACTGCAACAGCCCCTATTATAAGGTTTGTCCTCATCTGTTTCATAAGCCCCCTTTAGGTCCTGGGAGGGGCTCTGAGGAGATGGTGAGCAGCCCCTCACCCCTGCAAGGCCAACCTCAGTGCCCACAGAGTTCCACATGGCCCTGATGTGCTGGCAGGGATGAGCATGGTGTTGTGGGGACACCCATGTGGGTTGTGGGGACACTCTCTCCAGCCTGAATGGGCTGGGGACCAAAGATTCTCTTTTCCCAGGGTCACCCCAGGAACAGCTCTGTCACAGACATCTTTTATGAAAAATCCTTTTCTTAGGATTTTTCCTCCTGAGAAGCTGAGAGGCCTCAGGGACAAAATGTAACCAATGGTTATCTGCTGCTGTGGAATGCAACAGGTGCATCTGGGATTGGGCTCATGTGGTTGTTTCTAATTAATGGCCAATCACAGTCCAGCTGGCTTGGACTCTCTGTCTGAGACACAAGCCTCTGTTATCATTCCTTCTTTTTCTATTCTTAGCCAGCCTTCTGATGAAATCCTTTCTTCTATTCTTTTAGTATAGTTTTAATATAATACATATCATAAAATAATAAATCAAGCCTTCTGAAACATGGAGTCAGATCCTCATCTCTTCCCTCATCCTCGGACCCCGGTGAACACGGTCACACAGGCCCATTTCTGTGACACCCCAAAGATCACCTGGCATCCCAAGAGAGCTGTGTGCTTCCCCCCATCCTGCATGAGAGGGAAGAGGCTCAGCACCCATGAAATCTCTTACCTTTTTCTTGCTGCAGTAGATCTGCCACTTCTTCTCCGCTGGCAGCGCAAACATGGCCTCTCTGTGCTTGTCTGTGAGGTCAAGCTCATCCTGGAGAGGGGGAAAGAAACACAAAACATGCACCATGAGTACACAAACAGGTGATGGCACAGACACAGCCCCCCAGACAAGCAGTGTAAATCAACGTGGGGTCACACCATGGCACAGCAGTGACCCCACAGCATCACCCCATGACTCTGGATTTGTCAGGGCAATGATGCCAATCCTCATCCTGCTCTTGCTGACCTCTCCTGACTCTGGGCTGTAAACTTCCCTGCCTTGTCCCCCTCAGACATCTTCTTCATTGCTTTTAAAGGCTGTGAGTGTTTTGGAAAGGACACCCATGAAGCCATCAGGGCTGCCCACAAAACTCACACTGACAGCTTTAGGTGAGCAATCTCATCTAAGACACACACACACAGCAAAGAAAAATTCAAACAGGACCTTTCTTTTTATCATCATTACTTCACTAGAGCACCTCACCCTGAGTGGTCCAGCCCATTTCCACTGCTGACACCCTCATATCATCAAAAATTGGCTTTTGCTTTGTTTTCCTACAGCTAAGAATAGAAAGCTCTTTTCCTAATACCTACAGCTCATAAAGAGGTACATCCTCCCCATCAAAACTGCATCACGTACTGCCTGGCAGAGATAAAGCTGTTTACTGACTGAAGCCTTTATTGGTTTATCTGATGTTTTAAAGCACACATCCATTTCTGACTCAGAAGCTCAGTTAGCAGCGTGCCCTCCGCCGGGATGCCCGAGCATTATCAAAGCCTCATCGCTTCCTGGTGCTGGATGTAGGTCAAAGCTTTTATGAGGGAACTAAATAAAACATTCAGGCAGGGCTGGGAGGCTCGCTGCTGAAGCCAACATTGATCCTAGAGCCATGGGTGTCTCTTAAAACCACCAGCACTGATGATAATCCTCGTGCTGGAGGGGTTTGGGGGCAGCACTGAGAGGCTGCAGAAGGTCACAGGAAAGCCCTGCCATGGCTTCAAGCCAACTCATCCCACCCAGACTGTGGATTTAAGTAAGAGGATCCCCATTAAAAATTACACATTTAATTCCAGCAAGCAAAAAAACACCATATATGGAGAACTGCTAAAGCTTCTCTGCCTGAACAGTAACACTTAGCAACTAAAACAGCTTCTGTACCCCAGTCAAAGCCTCATTTGGGGAAGGCTGAGCAAGATGCCTCTGGCAAAAGATGGGTCCCTGCACCAGCAAGCCCACAGGCCACCAGGAAATTCAGCTGATATAATTCAAGCTCATATTGCACCCAGTAGCCAAGGAAGGGAGCTTTTTCATGTAACCCAAACCCAGGGGCCCCCTCCAGCACAACAACCAGTGACAGAGGGCTGCTGGCAGTCCCAAACACCTCAGAAGGGCTTATCTATGCACAGCAGGTATTGATTTCTCTTCTTGATGAAATTACTCCTCAAAAGGAAAGCTGTTGCAGAGGGTTTTTTTATTACACACTCATCGAGGAGGCTTTGCCTCTGCCTTGACCTTTTTACCCCACATCTTCAAACCACCATGCTGCACAGAGCTGATGCTGGTGGAGTTCTGGAAACAGACTTGGACACCTTTACAACAGAAAACCCATTCTGCTATAATAGAGATTGGGGGAAAGAGAGGACTGAGAAAACCTGAGCCCAGTGCAAGACACATCCCATCCTCCTGCAGCCAGGGAGGAGAACCTGGGCTGGGGACTACTCCAACCACTGCCACGCTCAAACATTCCCATGTCCTTACAGCCTGGGAGCTCAGAGATCCCTATCAACCAACCAACCTCCACCCCAGCCTTGGGCAAGCCTTGTCACCCTTCCATGCCTCAAAATCAAAACTGCACTTCCCCGTTGCTCCCTCAGGCTCTGAGCCAGTCAACATCCAAGCTCTGCTTCAGCCTCAGTTCATAGAAATCACAGAATGGTTTGGGCTGGGAGAGACCTTAAATATCATCTAGTTCCAACATTCTCCACCTTCTAAACCAGGTTGCTCATGGTCCCTTACAGCCTGGCCTTGAACACTTTTTTGGAGGTCTAAAGGTGACCAACAGGATGACACCCACACAGGGACCTGGCTGAAATTCACCTCACTGGAAAAGTAAATCTGGGGGAGGACAAGGGGCTCTTGATGAATATTTACCTCTGTGGTGAGGGTTTGAGAGAGCACAGGAGACTGCTTCCACTGTGACCCCACTTTCTGGCCATGTGAATCTGATAATCTGGCCTGAAAGCACCAGCCATAAGCACATCTGCACTTAGATCCTCAGAAAAACATTTACTGAAGCTTTCAAAATGCCCATACCCTAAAAAGACAACTTGTGCAAATGTGAAGATTTATTAACAGGGGGAAAAAAACCCTAAACCAAGCTGAAACCTAAGCAGGAGCAAGAAGGGACAAAACAGAAGAACATATTAGGGAGGTGCTGGCACATGACAATGTGCAAACACATCCAAAAAAGGTGCAGAAATGCTTCTAAGTCTCACACAGCACATTTCATCGTGCCTCAGCTCTAACACGTTCAGTCATCACAGCCCTGCATCACTCAACAACACCTACCTAATGATATCTTGCAGGATGCTCAGGAGAGGTGTTTGAATAAATGCTGTGTGGCACCCAGTGAATATGAAAATCCTCCTAATCAAACAGTGACTAAGGACTGTAATTCAGAGCCCTAACACAGTGACTCAGCTGGGAAGAGTCAGGTTTTTGCTGGTTTTTACGTGTTTGGGGATTCCTGCAGCCACCTCCAGCCCTTTGCTTAGGCTCACTGATGTGCATCTCAGTGCAGGCTGCTCAGAAACAGCTCCAAAAGATCAAGAAAGGACAGGAACAACACCTGTTTTCTGGGGGCTCACAGCCCACTGCAGAAATGCAGCTCCCACAAAGCCTTTAACAATCAACTGGAGTCACAGCGCGGCAGAGAAGCTGTTCAGAAACTCACACCCATATGGGCCTTCAATTAATAATCATGAGCTTGATAATTAGGTGATTCTAACTGGAAATTCATTTTATGGGCCATTTGCAGTCCACACACTCCTAGTACAGCTTGTGATGCTGGCAGCTGTTGAAGAGTGGGAAGACAACCATGGGTGGGTGTCCATCACCCTCACAGCCCTCACCCCTCACCTTTCACAGCTCTGCCCCTTCCACCTGGCTGCCTCCTGTGTCAGGATCTGCCAACTTCACTGTTTTTAATACTCTTCTGGAATCAGGTCAGTGGCATAAAAAATAACAGCCAAAAGGAAGTCTCTGCCCAGAGTGTTTTTACTGGAAAGAGATATGCTACTCTTAAATGTTTATCCTGTACAGTTAAACTATTCACCTTTACATCAGGAAACAGGTTTCCACATTAAATCTTCATTTGAATATGGTTTTTGAAAAAAAACTCATAGTGAAGCCTTGACTCTCAGTGTGTATTTTGCTATTTCCAGGAGGTACAACACTTCCATGCTGTGTGCTCTGCTGACAGCTCTCCATTCCAGCCAAGCAAGCCTCACCCCCTCTCTCTGAGCACAGCATGAGCTCCACTGAAGGTGAGATCCCACAGCATTCTCCTAAAGCTACCTGAGAAATGTGTGGCTGAGCTCAGCACATGGTGAGCACAACCCTGTGAGCCAAACAAGTTGTCCACAGCTCTCCCTTGGAGGACGCACAGCAGCACTCAGGGACAGATGTCCCCATGGCCTGCACCTCCCCAGGCTGGCACCTCAATGCTGTGAGGTGCCCTGTGGGCAACCAACCCCCTGCTCCAGCAGGGCCATGTACAGGTGGTTTTTGGAGTATCTCCAAGGAGGGAGATGTCACCACCTCCCTGGTTGGTAGCCACTGCCATCTCCCACCACCTCCTGAAGGCAAAGCCAAAAAACCACTGGAAGAAACGTTCGACCCTCCCAGCAGGAAAAGCAACAAGTCCAGCCTCAGTCCTTTGAGACAAACTCCTGTCCCTGCCACCTCACTCATGCCATGTTTTAATGAGCATCTTCCACAGACTGAGAGCATTAGTGGGGGCAACAGGAGGGAGACAGCAGCATGCTGCAAATCTCCTGACTTCAGGAATGACCTCCAGGATGGGCTCCTGGAGCTGGGGGAGCCCAAGTGCTGCCTACCCATGTCCACAAGACCACAGTGTGACCAGCATGGGCTCTTCCCTTTCATCCCACAGGTCCTTCGTGCCATCAGACATTCTGCATGAAGCATCTGGGGAGTAGAGATTAAATAAGGAATAACTTCCTACAGAGGAGTCTGCAACTCCAAAATACCCTTACAGGTTGTAAGAAAAGAATATTAAAAACCTTTAAATCCAATGTTCCTTTCTGGTTGATAAATTGTGCAAATTTAGTACATGGAGGAGATTGGGGGTCACTCATTGCCCTAACTGAAATAATGATTATTTAAAATTTGCTTGTTTGTGCTGGGTTTGTATAAACATGCATATATATGTTTATAGAATGACAGAAAAGCTTGTTTTGGGCAGGACCATAAAGACCAGCTAGTTTCAACACATTCCCTGTGAGCAGGGATGCCACACACTAGACCAAGCTGCTCCAAGTCCCATCCAACCTGGCTTTAAAACTTCCAGGGATGAGGCATCCACTTCTCTCTGGATTTACTTATACATACAGGTGTGCACACGTATATTTATATTATATATATATATATACACACACATACAGAAAGATGTCACTGGATCAATAAACTACCAAAATAATAAACAGCAAGTGAATTTACTCCTGGTGGGTGGATGCACAGAGTTTAGAACCTTCTGTAAGTGAGGCTATAGCATGTAAAGATGAGATCTCTTGGATCATCAAATGAAGCATGAGAGAGATCCAAGAATGTTCAAAAATTTTGGAAAAAAATAGAAGGAAAAAAACAAAGTGTGAACTTTTTGGCAATGTTTGGCATTTAGGGGTCCAGCATGGGAATTAAGAAGTCCATAAATAATGTCCTGTTGAAGCCTGCACCGCCTTCCTTTCTCAGGGGTCATATTGCTTTTTCACTCTCTTCCAGGCATTCTTCTCCAAGTTCATCAATGTGAT